TGTGCTTGATTTAGAGTATATTTTGATCTATTAGAAGAAACTGTATTCCAACATTTTACAGGAAAAAAAACCTATATGTATACAAAAAATAAGGTTAAATACAATGAAGGGACAGACTATGACTATAACAATGAAAATTTTAAAAGATTGTATTTATTTATTTATTTTATATCTTTTCAGCGTAACAGTATTCATTGGTTTTTGCACCATACCCAGGGCTCCATGCAATACGTGCCCTCCTTAATACCCACCACTTGGCTCCCCCAACCTCCCACCCCCTGCCCCTTCAAAACCCTCAGGTTGTTTTTCAGAGTCCATAGTCTCTCATGGTTCACCACCCCTTCCAATTTCCCTCAATTCCCTTCTCCTCTCCATCTCCCCATGTCCTCCATGTTATTTGTTATGCTCCACAAATAAGTGAAACCATATGATAACTGACTCTCTCTGCTTGACTTGTTTCACTAAGCATGATCTCTTCCAGTCCCGTCCATGTTGCTACAAAAGTTGGGTATTCATCCTTTCTGATGGAGGCATAATACTCCATAGTGTATATGGACCACATCTTCCTTATCCATTCATCCGTTGAAGGGCATCTTGGTTCTTTCCACAGTTTGGCGACTGTGGCCATTGCTGCTATAAACATTGGGGTACAGATGGCCCTTCTTTTCACTACATCTGTATCTTTGGGGTAAATACTCAGTAGTGCAATTGCAGGTTCATAGAGAAGCTCTATTTTTAATTTCTTGAGGAATCTCCACACTGTTCTCCAAAATGGCTGCACCAACTTGCATTCCCACCAACAGTGTAAGAGGGTTCCCCTTTCTCCACATCCTCTCCAACACACGTTGTTTCCTGTCTTGCTAATTTTGGCCATTCTAACTGGTGTAAGGTGGTATCTCAATGTGGTTTTAATTTGAATCTCCCTGATGGCTAGTGATGATGAACATTTTTTCATGTGTCTGATAGCCATTTGTATGTCTTCATTGGAGAAGTGTCTGTTCATATCTTCTGCCCATTTTTTGATATGATTGTCTGTTTTGTGTGTGTTGAGTTTGAGGAGTTCTTTATAGATCCTGGATATCAACCTTTTGTCTGTACTGTCATTTGCAAATATCTTCTCCCATTCTGTGGGTTGCCTCTTTGTTTTGTTGACTGTTTCCTTTGCTGTGCAGAAGATTTTGATCTTGATAAAGTCCCAAAAGTTCATTTTTGCTTTTGTTTCCTTTGCCTTTGGAGACATATCTTGAAAGAAGTTGCTGTGGCTGATATCAAAGAGGTTACTGCCTATGTTCTCCTCTAGGATTCTGATGGATTCCTGTCTCACGTTGAGGTCTTTTATCCATTTTGAGTTTATCTTTGTGTATGGTGTAAGAGAATGGTCGAGTTTCATTCTTCTACATATAGCTGTCCAGTTTTCCCAGCACCATTTATTGAAGAGACTGTCTTTTTTCCGCTGTATATTTTTTCCTGCTTTGTCGAAGATTATTTGACCATAGAGTTGAGGGCCCATATCTGGGCTCTCTACTCTGTTCCACTGGTCTATGTGTCTGTTTTTATGCCAGTACCATGCTGTCTTGGTGATCACAGCTTTTGTAGTAAAGCTTGAAATCAGGTAACATGATGCCGCCAGTTTTATTTTTGTTTTTCAACATTTCCTTAGCAATTTGGGGTCTCTTCTGATTCCATACAAATTTTAGGATTATTTGATCCAGCTCTTTGAAAAATACCAGTGGAATTTTGATCGGAATGGCATTAAAAGTATAGATTGCTCTAGGCAGTATAGACATTTTAACAATGTTTATTCTTCTAATCCAAGATCATGGAATGGTCTACCATCTTTTTGTGTCTTCTTCAATTTCTTTCATGAGTGTTCTGTATTTCCTTGAGTACAGATCCTTTACCTCTTTGGTCTCTACACCTTAAAGAACTGGAGAATCAACAACAAATCAAATCAACTCCACACATAAGAAGGGAAATAATCAAGATTAGAGCAGAGATCAATGAGGTAGAAACTAGAAATACAGTAGAATGTATCAATGAAACTAGAAGCTGGTTTTTTGAAAGAATCAATAAGATCGATAAACCATTGGCCACACTAATCCAAAAGAAAAGAGAGAAAGCTCAAATTAATAAAATTATGCATGAAAAGGGAGAGATCACAACTAACACCAAGGAAGTAGAAACAATCATCAGAAGTTATTATCAACAGTTATATGCCAATAAGTTAAGCAACCTAGATGAAATGGATGCATTCCTGGAAAACTATAAACTCCCAAAAATGAACCAGGAAGAAATTGACAACCTGAATAGACCAATATCTAGTAACAAGATTGAAGCAGTGATCAAAAACCTCTCAAAAAGCATGAGCCCAGGACCTGACAAATTCCCTGGGGAATTCTACCAAACTTTCAAAGAAGAAATAACACCTATTCTCCTGAAGCTGTTTCAAAAAATTGAAGCAGAAGGAAAACTTCCAGACTCTTTCTATGAAGCCAGCATTACTCTGATCCCCAAACCAGGCAAAGACCCTACCAAAAAGGAGAATTTCAGACCAATATCACTGATGAATATGGATGCTAAGATTCTCAACAAGACCCTAGCAAACAGGATCCAACAGTACATTAAAAAGATTATCCACCATGACCAGGTGGGATTCATCCCTGGGTTACAAGGATGGCTCAACTTTCACAAATCAATCAATGTGATAGAACAAATCAATAAGAGAAGAGAAAAGAAACACATCGTCCTCTCAATTGATGCAGAAAAAGCATTTGACAAAATCCAGCATCCGTTCCTGATTAAAACGCTTCAAAGTATAGGGATAAAGGGAATATTCCTGAACTTCATAAAATCGATCTATGAAAGACCCACAGCAAATATCATTCTCAATGGGAAAAAGCTTGCAGCCTTCAGGAACACGACAAGGATGCCCACTCTTATCACTCTCGTTCAACATAGTATTAGAAGTCCTAGCAACAGCTATCAGACAACAAAGAGAAATAAAAGGTATCCAAATTGGCAATGAAGAAGTCAAACTCCCTCTCTTCGCAGATGATATGATTCTTTATATGGAAAACCCAAAAGACTCCACCTCCAAACTACTAGAACTCATACAGCAATTCAGTAACGTGGCAGGATACAAAGTCAATGTACAGAAATCAGTGGCTTTCTTATACACTAACAATGAAAATACAGAAAGGGAAATTAGAGAATCGATTCCATTTACTATAGCACCAAGAACCATAAGATACCTGAGAATAAACCTAACCAAAGAGGTAAAAGATTTTTTTAAAAGGAATTGATAAGATAAAATAGTTAAAACATTAAAATAGGAACGTGGGGAAAAAATTTTAAATAGAAGAAGAAAAAAATAAAAAATTTAAAAAATTCAACTTTGAAAGACTAAGGAATCATGGGGAAAAGGCCATGAATTCTATGTGCTGTATTCCCGTAACTCTGAAGTTTTGCAGTTCTCATTGATTGGTGAACTTGGTCTTGGCTGGATGTTCTTATTGATCTTCTCGGGGAGGGGCCTGTTGCAGTGATTCTCAAATTTCTTTGCCCAAGGAGGAATTGCACTGCCCTTGCCAGGGGCCAGGCTAAGTAATATGCTCAGATTTTGCTCTTGGTAGCTTTTATTCCCTGAATGCTTTCCATACAGCTTTGGAGGAGGACAATGAAAATGGTAGCCTCTCAATCTCTGACCCAGAGGAGCCCATAGCTTGGGGTCCCACTCCTCAGTGCATCCTCAGAGAAAAGCAGTCAATCCCTTCTGTCTCCCAGGTCTCCAGCAGCACTCGGTGCTCACCCAGCCTGTGACCGAGCGTTTCTATCTCTGGCATACAGCCCCATTTGGAGTTTTCAAACCCAGCAGATTCCTGCAGCGTGCTCCCACACCACTCCTCCCACAGGAGGAAGGAAGTGGTCTCCCTGGATCTGCCACTTGTATGGTCTCTGCTTAAATAGCAGTGGCCTGACTTTGCCTCAGATCAGGATTTAAGGTAACCTCGAGCTGAGAGCCCACTCCTCAGCTCTGTCTCTGCAGCTGGATTCCCTGCTTTGATACCTGGGAGCTCTGCCACACTCAGACACCCCTGGTGTTTTTGTGACCCCACGCGTCATGAAACCACACTGTCCCCACAAGGGCTGCACCCCCGGCTTAGCCTCTGGAGTGACATCCCTCCGTGGAGTAGACTTCTAAAAGTTCTGATTTTGTGCTCCGCTGCTGCTCCACCGCTTCCCAGGAGCCAGCCCCTCCCCCTGCAGTTTATCTTCCTGTATATCTCCTCTCCCCATGTCCTACCTTTCAGAAAGTGGTTGCTTTTCTGTTCCTAGAATTGCCGCTCTTCTTCTCTTCGATCTCCTATTGAGTTTGTAGGTGTTCAGAATGGTTTGATAACTATCTATCTGAACTCCTGGGACTTGATGATATTTAGGTCTCATACTCCTCCACCAACTTGCTCCTTTCCCCCCTCCTCCCCCAGAGGAGAATTCCTCTTAAAACCATCCCTGACACCATAGTGCCCTTTAAAAAGGGGGGGGGGATGCAATCATGCTGAGCATGTTATTTTTTTTCTTCTTTTCTTTAACAGTCATGACTGTCTCTCCATGTCAACACACCTCCAACATCAATTTAAATGACAAAAGAAGATTGAAGGAATCATAACTAATATTCTAGGAACAGTGTGCTGTATTTCAATACTTAAGAAAGTACTGTTTCTTTAAATGTGGTTCAAATACTACTTGCAGAAGACTCACCTACAGAAGAGGCACCTACAGTGCCCATAGTGGAGACTTGGGGACCCATCTCAGACCTATAAAATCAGGACCTCTAGGTGGGGGAGCCAGAAATTTATATTTGTCAACAAGCTCCCAGATGATGTTTATCTTACTAAGTCTGAGAATCTCTTGTTTCTTTTAAAGAGAAGAACTATTTTTCCCAACACACCAGATTTTTTTCTGTTTTCTTAAACTTTCCTGCTCTCTGATTTTTATTTTAGGAGACAACAATGGATGGTCTTTGCAATTTGACAAGTATTTCGCCAGTTACTACAGAATCACTTCCCCATATCCCTTTGAGACACAAACATCGGAATGCTGTAAGTAATCAAAAGGATTGAGTCTCCTTTTCCATGAGTTCATAAAAAGATACCATGTTTTTAAAAGTTGGATCCAACATATTTATTTGAAAAGGTTAGCTATAGTCTTCTAACAGCAAACTCTATTAGAGATGCAGCCTTAATTTGGGGATTTTATTTAAAAGTGACTCAAGGATCTTAGGTATAAAAGCAACATATCACACTAGATATTGTGAACAAAATTAATGTCCATCAGCCAGGATTACTACTTTATGTCCCTTTTTCACAATCATAGGCTCTGATACAAAGGAAATTGTAGAAAAGGAAGAGCAGAGGAGCTGTTTGCATTTTAACGTCTGCAAGTAAAAAAGCTTCTGGAGTCTAAACTACTTCAGAACTACAAAAAATCCTCATTAATTATAACCTGCTATGCTTAGTCACACACTGAAAACCTCCAAAAACACTGAAGGGGTGGTAGGAGGGTACAACCTCAGGACTGACTGTGATACTTTAGAACAGGAAGACCTTGTAAACAACTCCTTTTAATAAATTTTGTTTATTCTAATAAATTATGGAAATGTAATTTTGTGCCTTGGAGCTATAATTTTGGTCCTACTTTTACAAAACTTTGGTTAAATAGTGAAGGAGAGGGGGGCCTTTACTAAATTTTTCCTTTATGTTCTATCACAAACTGTAAAATCAAGCTTTTTAAAAAAAGGTTTAATTTTTGTGTCTTCAATATTCAAATGAGATTAATAAAAAATACTAACAGTCCCCAATTTAAAGAAGTGTACATCCATCCTGTAAACACACAGGCTACTCAGCAATCTGTCTCAGCCTCACATTTTCTCACAGAGACCAAATTATTTGATCCCTAAAACCTTCTGGGAAAGAAAAAATGTAACAGGTGTAATTTACCTGCTAATACAATGCAAAAAAATTAAAGAATTATGCCATGTTATCTCAAAACACAGGGTTTTTTTCTTGTTTTATTGTATTGCCTTTTCTTTTCTTATCTCAAATTTTAAAATTAAGAAATTTTCATTTCTTAAATTTTAATTGAATCTTTCTATATCTCCTTATTCCTAAATGGATTTTATGCAGTTTACAATAAAAATCTGGCTGCTAACAGACTTAAGTCGTTAATATAACATATAAGATAAAAATTCAACAGTGAATGGAAAAGAGAATGGGAAGAAAAATTATGTAAGGAAATCCTCACTGAGAAAAGTTCAGTATCTGTGTCCAAAGCTTAGTTCTGAATTTTGTAGTCATCAGGCTAAAGAAGGAAGATAATGGGTTACATAACTTTTATAGTCTGGCTTGTAAAGCAAAGACAAACAAATGAGGGAAAAAACAGATCAAGTCAGCAAGAGAGATAACTTTTTGCCTAATTCTGAACTCTGGGAGAAGTGTGTCCTTAAGTATAACTACATAGGAAGAATGGAGCTACACAGTAAATGATACACCAAAAAAAAATTTTATCAGTTTTTAGTAAAAAATAAATATATAATTTTCAATTAGAGTTCTTATAAAGATAGTTCAGGATGTGGTGGTAATAAAAAACTAAATGTCTTTTGCAAGCATAAAAGCAGTATGAAACAGAATGGAAAGAGTAGTGTAAATTTGGGGATGAAACTTTAAGTTCCTTTTGTACTACCTTATGTAAATGATTATTATAAGGATTTATTGGAAATTAAACTGAGAATGGCTTATAATAATTTTTGGCTGGGTGAAAGAGTGTGAGGAATTGGCTTTTATAAAGTCACCTCTCAAGAACAATATCTTGGAAAATATATCTATCATTAACCAGTGTATTATTAAAGTTTAAACTTGAGGGATATGGAAAGTACAAAGATTTAGAATTATTTGTTTACTCAACCATAATTTCACCACTCAGAGGCTACCGGCATTAACTTGGTGGTGCATTATTCATCTTTTTTATTTTAACATTGTTGAAATTTCCTGTACAAACCATTTTAATCATATTTTCACTTAGCATTTTAGCCCAATCAGGTATCCATGCTGTTACAAGCTGTTTTTGAAAATACTATAGAATATATTTTTAAGTGAAATAATGTGCTTAATCATTCTTTTGATGTTGGATATTTAGGTGTTATTTTTTCATTTTTCCTTATTACAGGTAACCCTGTTAATCAACATACATGAATTATCTTAACTCTATCAATATAAACAGAAAAAACACATTGGAAGTAATGTTAATTTCACTCCCTCCATTTTTACCCTTCCTAGTCTTACTCTCAAACCCTTCATCCTCTCTCCCAATCCACACCCTTCCTTCCCCACAACACTCATGTTAGACGTGGCTTATAACTTGGAGACAGAATCAGTTTTCAGCTTCAGAGATCCATAGCCAAAATGGTTACTTACAACCATAAAACTGTTTAAAAGTTCTTGGCGGAGACTCTGTTTACAAAAAACACAAATCCTAAGTTATGATTTTGATCTCTTATAACCCTGAAAAATAGGAGAGTTATCTGGGAGGAGAGGAAGAACACCTGTCACCCCATAGCTGAGCAAAGGGATATTTACTAGGTCAAAGTCTTCCATTTACTACCCAACTGTGCTCATTAACATTCATCCACCAGCTTTGTCATAGAAATCTCTTCTTTGCCATTAGACAATTTTCTGCTCTGTGGAAGCTTGACTGTAAAATCATATACTGGAAGCCTACCAGCAGAAAATTCTCATAGAAAGTTTTGTTTGTTCTGTGATGTTTTAAAATATTTTGAGTTGGCAATTCTCATTTTTCAAATAGGTAATTATCAACAGAACATTGTATTTCTGGCTTCTTTGAGAAAGTTGGTTGACTTGGCTACACATGTTCCTATCCTAATATGGCAACAGGAGAAGCAGGTCCACTGGGACATCTGGATAAGGCCAACACCTATTTTGCCAGTGCCCTGTAGACTTGAGTCTGTAACCTCTGCTATTCAGGTCAGGGTTTCAAAGTAAATGTAGAGGGAAAGCACTTCTCGTAACTCTTGTTCATCAACTATTCCCCACAGAGGCAGGAATCACACTCTATTATACTGAATAACAATCTTATTCTACTATTGAGCTATATGAACACATCATTGCAAGTCTCTAGTAGACTTTAGAACTATGGGATCACATCTTTAAGACTATGACTGCAGCCCCACAAGATGGCCAAGGGCAAATATCCAATTCTCCCTCTCCCCAACATTAGCAGTGAGAATAGAATGGTTGGCTATGCATAAAAAAAGTTCACTCCCATAAATGACTTTTTAGACATCCTTACATCCCTACATAAGCCAAAAGAAGATCATTTAAAAAAAAAAAAAAATCCTTTAAAGAACTCCTGAATTTTCCAGGAAAAAAAACAAAAAAAGAATTCTACCAACACTATGGTTCATGTTTAGTTCTCTTTCTCATCAGCTAAAAATAACTTAGTCTTCCATTAAGAGTTTGATTATGCTATTAATACTTTAGTCTTAAATAGCAGCTTTAATATGGACATTAAAGCCCATCACACACTATCATGTCACCTCTGAACATAACCACTCACCTTGGGTGAGTAAAAGCAGATGACGTCACTCATTTTGCAACAAATGGAAAAGAGCAGTCTGCTATTTACAGAAATGCATGGGCTGGTAAATGTGTCTGTTTTATCTTAATTTTGTAGCATCATTTTAACATTAAATTAAAAGCAAACTTTGTAACCTTAATTTAAAGCATTGCCCATATTGCTTGGGTAAAACATACTTTTGTACTAAATAATTTTCTCATAGCTTTTCATTTCTTTCTTTTCATTACCTTCCTCTTCCTGGTCCCTCACTATCCCCATTCCTTACAACTTCCTTCTTATTCAGTGGTCGGTTCTGTGCCCATGCAATGTCTTTGCCGAGGTTTAGAGGTTGACTGTGATGAGACCAATTTACGAGCTGTTCCATCAGTTTCTTCAAATGTGACTGTAATGTAAGTAGAAAAGAATGGCTTCATCCTGACAGCCAGAATAGCACCTGTAAAACTGTATCATAATTAAGGCCTTGTCATTATTAATGCATTTTTATTCAAAGATGATGTCAGTGTTCTCGGTCAATTATAATGATTGCTGCTATTTATTTTACATTTATTAAATGCTAGGTTCCACTTTAAATGATTCTACATATTAATTTACTTAGTCCCTCATAATAATCCTATGGCGTATTTAGATATATTAACTTATGTAAACCCTCATAATAATCCCATTTAATATTTAGTATTATCATATTTTATCTAAACAGAAGATGTCATCATTTGTGTGCTACTAAAGAAAGACTGCCAGTTAAACTATTATATAGAGCTTTCTTATTACAAGAACTGACATTTATTGAAAGAGCTCTTTTAGACTTTGTTGGAAACACTCTTATCTCTAAATAAAAAAAGAAGACAAGTGAAATAAATGGGATAAAATATTCCCAGGACTTACTTCACATTTAAAATCTAACTCTTCTGAATCACATTTGGCTCAGAGATGTTGATGTCTCCTCCCGCAAATAACTCAAACTTCTGTATGTAAAAGAAACTTATCCTCATAATAAGTGGTTTGTTGATCCAGTACTAATTTGAATTCAGCAAACTTTAGCAACACAGTCACACACATTTGACTAAAACTTTTCAAAAGAAATCAGTGGAGGGAAGATATTTTAATCTGATGTTTCTGCTGAGTTTTTTGTTTCATCCAGATGTTTTAGTGCCATATGGCTCTGACTTTTGAGTACATGAAGACAGAATAGGAGTAATTCTTAAGTTTACAAATATGGGCAAGTCCTGCCTTTGCCAACCCAAACCACATAACATGGCAACTCATATGCTTGATGTATAAGGAGCAGAGAGAGCTAGAGCTCAATTTCTGTCAGCCAGGATGCCATTAAATTAACAAAATCTGGGAGGGTTTACTCAATCAATGGTGACCTGCAGAATTTATCCAAACTGGTAATGAGCTAAAAACATCAAACAGGTTAGACCACAAAGACTTGTTTTCCCCAAGGGAGCTGACAGTCCCACCTGAACTAAGGCTGGCATTCTAGCCTATCCTCAAGTCACCATAGCTCTTTTACATACTAATTAGCCTTAATAGAAAACAATAATAATATTTTACTAGAATAAAATAATAATCTGAGGTTCTGTGGAGAGTTTCCATGATTTAAATCATGACTGGACCTGCTTGGTGTAAAAATTGAGATGATTTCATTCTATTTTCTTTTTTTTTTTTTTTAAGATTTTATTTATTTATTTGACAGAGATCACAAGTAGGCAGAGAGGTAGGCAGAGAAAGAGAGGGGGAAGCAGGCTCCCTGATGAGCAGAGAGCCCGATGCGGGGCTCGACCCCAGGACTCTGGGATCACGACCTAAGCCGAAGGCAGAGGCTTAGCCCTCTGAGCCACCCAGGTGCCCCAGATTTCATTCTATTTTCAAAGAGAAACATTTATCACCCCCACTGTTCGTATCATATTACCAGAAAGTCAGTCAAAGAATACCCTTAGGCTGCCAGTCTCATTTTTCCCTTTCATACAAGTAAGAACTGAATCTGTTCTTCCACAAATTAACTAACCTTTGCATAAGAAAGGAAGAGAGGGAGAGAACTGGAGGAATGAAAGAAGATAGGAAATGACTAACCAGAGAGCACATGTCTTTAAAGAATACCCAAAGGCATTCTGATTCGAATTAAAATGTACTGGCTTCGGAACATTCATACATACATTCATAAAGAGGTGTGTGCAGTCCGGGCCACCAGCTTTCAGTCCTTGGTATAGAGAAAAAAACTGGGATGGGATAGCTCCTCATGACGATGGGCTACAGGAAAGCAAGGGAGAAGGAAATGTCCAAGATGATTTCAGGCTTTCCAAGTAATAGAGTGCTAGGAGGATGGGGGACTTGGTGACAGGAAGTGGGAAAGATTAGGACTCCAATCTTCGATGCCTTTTCCAACTTTGGGTTAACAGATCAGTCAATAGAAATTCTCAACAGGCATTCGGAGATGTAGAAATAAAGCTCAGGAGTCTATGTCTGTAACACTTTATTTTTTGTTAAAAAAATAGCAATTTCTTGTGCTTTGGTTTGAGCAGTTTGATTCAGGCTGTCCATTTCTACTTTACTCTGCAGTAAACGTTAACTCCAACTCAGCATCACAATCCCCCCAGTCTTCGTTCAATTCCACAGAGAAAGGAACTGTAGGCTTTACAGCAAATACATTAAAAGAGTAAATATCAAATTTTATTACAGAGCCCATTCCATATTTTGAATTGGAACTCTCATAGGGAAATGTTGGAAATAGACTAAATCATATATAAGTATCAAAGAAACCAATAATCCCAGTAATATTTATTGAAGTGGGAATTTTTAAGACCTTTCACATAAATGCAACTGAACAAAAGAGACGGATAAATATGATGATTTATGTCTTGTTTGGGCTTCCTAAACATTAGTTTTAACTGTGTGAGTGTTGACTGAAAGATCCTCGAATTTAATCACTAAACTACACAATCTAATTGTAAGAACTTTATCAAAACTATAGCTAACTTTGGCAATAATAATTAAACTAGGTAGTTTCTCTCTTTTGCACACACACACCACTTTGTAAAGAGTCGGACTTGGAATATTACATTTTAAAACACAAAAATTTGTCATATTAAGAAGTTTTTTTGGCTTGTCCTGTTCAGTAAGAATAACACTTCCATTTCAACAGGGTATTATGAAAATACGGAGAATGCTATTTGTTAAAATATTTGACATCATTTAGAAAGAAGTCACCTATAAATCCTAGGCACGATCAATAAAAAACCAACTTTCTAAGAAACATAACTTAGGAATCCTTAAATGAGCCTTCCTTCCCTCCAGTGTAACCTTTCCACTCATGTGCAATTCGCCTCTTCTTCCTGGATTCTCTCATAGAATCCCACTCGTGTCTCTTTGAAGCACATCATTCTTCCTTGTTCTATAGTGATTGGAGTCTTAATCTTCTTTACCAGAAAAAGGGAAGTGCCAGAAGCTCAATGGAGTTTTTCTATATATCCTCCAAAGTTCCTAACAGATACCATAAACCCTGAACACTGTTTTTGAAATGAAGTCACATGAAAATAAATAAAAAATAAAACAAGATGATAGCCTTTTTAGCCCTAGGCTATAAAACTAAAGTTATCATCCAAAGAAACCCTCTGTTTATAGACAAAATAGATTCTTTGTCACCCAAATAGAGTATAAGCTTCTTAAGAGCAGTGATATTATCCTTCTTTCCCAAAGTACAAATGGAAGGCATTCAACATACATTGAGAAAATGAATGAATGCCTGAATGAATGAACATATTTTTGAAAACACACTAAGCTTTTATCAATATTTTTAAATCAAACTCAAATATTCAACCGTTTGTTTTTATACAACAGAAACATGTACTACACAATGTAAAGCAGAATTGAAGATCCAAGCCAAGTGAGAAGGATTAGGAGGACAGGAATTCTCAATTAGCTAACATAAGAAATGAAAGAACGTTTAGAGAAAGCCCGGCAGCTACGAAAGATTTCAAGAGAAAGTTCGTAGTTAATCAGCCTTTGGCATTCATTCATTAAAAAACCACTAATGACTGTTATGTACAGTCCAGAACTTAAGTTTTCCTTTTTCTTTTCATTACTACCCTCCAAGCTCTTTTAGATATTTTTTTTCTATTTGTCCCCTCCTGTGAAATTTTAATATTATACATATACTCTTCTATATCTGTTTATGTATACCTGTTCTTCATCCATTTAAAAAGGTAAAATAAGATTTTTTTCTCCCTCCTTAAGAACCAGTTTTCACACCTCAGAGCAATAACATCCCCATCGATAATACATGGTCTCCTAGACTCTAGAATAACATTTCTCAAATTAGATTCCAAAGATGTGTTCTGAGGGAGTCTGAGAAACTATTTTGCTTTAAGAAGTCTTCACTATCAAATTTAAGCAACTCTGGTCCAAACCAATATAACAACTAACACTGGTAGTGCCTACTGTATGATGCTGTTGTAACCGAGTCCTTTTTGCCCGTCAGGCATCTCCAAGTGTTTATCCCACAGTGGTCAACCTAGAGACAATGTAATCTATTGCTCACTTAACAAGAAACATCTGCTCCATCGTATTATATAAAGACAGTAACAATTGCATCATATTATTACAGGTCATCCAGTAGAAATCGATGCTTTCACAGTTAAAGAGATTGACAAGGAAATATTGTGTATGGTTCTTGCAAGGGACTCCAGCAGCAACAGTTTGGGTGTTTGTCCATTTGGCTTGGTTTTTTGCTTCTTTAAGTTTGTTCCTACTGCCTTACACTGCTTTTCTTTAAGACATTAAAGGTTTAGGTCATTTCCAGTACAACCACAATTATGTGCACCTAGTTTGTGCCAAACTGCATATTAAATTGTGATTCAAGGGGAAATCTTTCTATACAATTTCCTAGAAATTGAAATGAAATCACTTATTGAATAAAGAAGGTTCAGTTGTACTTACCAAATGACAGTTGCCTTCAAATTAATTTTAAAAGGAAGTAAAAGTAGTGGAATGTGAGCAATGAAATATTGAAGAATATAAAATTACTTAAGCTCTTATATGTTCTTTACACAGAGAACAGTATTTTTATTGTCACTTCAAAATCAAGATGGTTTCTGGTGTCTGTTAAATAAAAAGAAAAAAGGAAAATGAACTGATAATTATTTTCCCAGTTACATTATTTTGTGTTTTGTTAGAATTACAATGTTGTAGCCTAAATTTAAGACAAATATCTTTAATAATACAAAACTAAGTTAGACTTAGTTCAAATAGTACTATGGATGTGAGAGTAACACCATGAAATAAAATGTTTCCTGAAAGGTGGTACTACACTAAATCAAGCTTGTAATTATTTACAGTGTTCTGTAAACTGCTGTAGTTTAAAAGTAAAGAAAGAAACACTTTAAGAACCAAAATTTACATTTATTTCAGGTCACTTCAGTGGAACTTAATACGAAAGCTTCCTCCTGATGGCTTCAAGAAGTACCATAATCTTCAAAAACTGTAAGAAAAAATTTAATTCCCCGTGTTAAAATTAACACATCATTTTGGCCTGTCTTTTCCCACCTCTGCATAGAACAACACTATATCACCGCTTAAGTCCAATCCGTCCTCGGAAAATTATTTAGCTGGTAGCTAGAGACTACCAGGTAACTTTTTTTTGAGGAGTTCTAGAAGTCGTTCTAGAAAAATCACACTTGCTCCCAAAGAAACTGGAGCATGCAAGATATGAGTTCTCCTGGCACACACTAGCCTGTGAAGAATTTTCTTCCATATGTTTGCAAATTTGTTCTCCACCTAAGAGAGCAAGTCATGGTGGTTGGAAACCCCAGAGCATGTTGTTTGGGGGACTTAATTCCATTTTCATATCTGCCATGCAGTTTTTTATTTTCGATTCATGTAGTATCTGACATGCTAGATTCACATCAGTTCAGCACTTTCATGTATACTCCAAAAATCCATAATGGTGCAGTTTGTGCTTACCTGTGATTCAGTCCAACTCTGTGACTAAATCTTATCATACTTGAACTGTTGGGTTTAAATATCCTCAGCCTGAATCATGGTCTTTAGAAAACATCTGAGAATTCCTAGATTCATTTTCATACCTATGTCAGTTTTAGTTCTGGTCTTACACTGAAGAAACCTCACACATAGTTGTATATGTATCTGTACGTTCTTCTTTTTATATGTATCTTATGTATCTTCTACGTATGTGTCTGTACAGAAATAGAACAAAATCAGAATAAAAATTTATCTATTCCATTCGATGAAATGTACTCAAAACCCAGATAATCTGCAAAAAAGTATGTTTCATATTTAAAAATAAAAATGTCACTAAAAATGACATTCAAAATTACTGGATGTTTAACAATCAAGAGAAGAGCTTTTCAAAATTAGGCCTTACGTAAGTATTTCAAGAGAATGCTTCTGTATTCTATTTTCTGATTTTTGGAGGCTGAAGAATTTTTCTGATCTGTAGCACCACCTTATGTCCACATGTTTAAAAGGAGTTAATTCTCCAATTTTAAACATCAAAATTCAGGTTTATATAACACAGTAGTTTATCATTTTTACATAATAAACATTGAACTAATTTTTTAAGATTTTATTTTTAAGTAATCTCTACACAACGTGGGGCTCACACCCACAACCCCAAGATCAAGAGTCATGTGCTCTACTGACTAAGCCAGCCAGGCGTCCCAAATTACTTCTTGAACAGCCAATTTGTTCTAACGAATAGATCAAAATAGCTTAATTACAAAAAAAAATTCTACTTGATTATTAGAGATATAGCTTTGCTCAAACTTCATGCAATACAGTCTATTAATCATTAATCATGAAAATACTTAGAAACAAATATATACATGCGTAAGCTTCTCTGCATATTAGCATTCCCTATTTTGTAATTGAAATCACAATATGTTCTGTGAAATTGTTAAGTGCATAGTAAATTTAATAACATTTTTATAATCAAATTTAGGTTTTCTTACATGTTGGAGAAATAGGGAATCCCCATTAGTCAAATTTCTAATTAACTAAGAATTTGTTCATACTGAGAGTGCCTGGTTAAGTGTCTCTTTTTTTTTTTTTTTTAAGATTTTATTTATTTATTTGAGAGAGAGGGCATGAGAGGGGGAAGGGTCAGAGGGAGAAGCAGACTCCCCGCTGAGCAAGAAGCTTGATGCAGGGTTTGATTCTGGGGCTCCAGATCATGACCTGAGTTGAAGGCAGAGCAGACACTTAACTGACTGTCTGACTCTTGATTTTGGTTTGTCACGATCTCAAGGTTGTAAGCTCAAGCCCAAGGTGGGCTCTGCGCTCATCCAGGAGTCTGCTGGAGATTCTCTCTCCTTCCCTCTGCCCCGTACCCTGTGCTCTCTGTCTGTCTTTCTCTCTAAAATAAACACATAAATCTCTTAAAAAATGTGTTCAGGGATGCCTGGGTGGCTCAGTTGGTTGGACGACTGCCTTCGGCTCAGGTCATGATCATGGAGTCCTCGGATCGAGTCCCGCATCGGGCTCCCAGCTCCATGGGGAGTCTGCTTCTCTCTCTGACCTTCTCTTCGCTAGTGCTCTCTCTCACTGTCTCTCTCTCTCTCTCTCAAATAAATAAATAAAATCTTTAAAAAAAAATGTGTTCATATTGGTTTCTACCTTATTCCTCCTTGTATTTATAAAAATATATATATAAACTTCAAAACTCCCTAAAGGACAATGGTGACCTGTATTCAGTACAAGAAGTCAGGCTTGAAGCCCTTATTTGTCATTTCCTACAACCTGGGGCCAGTACATGCAGAGGGACAAAGCTTTGCAAGGGTGCATTTGATGCAATTGCTTGCGTTCTGGTATCTGTTTCCTTTGACCTCCAGTTAACCCGAGGCCAATCATCCTGGATGACTTGTTAACTATTTAAGATTGCATTCTTGTCTTGACGTGCCAGTCTAATTTATATTCTTCTGGTCCTGAGTCTTTTTACTTCTTTTTTTTCTTTTGCCATAAATACTCCTTCTAAGCTTCATCAAACACTTTTGGAGCAAGGCTTGGGGTGTCAAATTAATAAAATTAAAGCTAACTTGTTGGGTAGATTTGTGATTAACATGGAATATAATCCAGGACCTTAAAGATGTCACATACTTGTACTTTTGCCAGCGTTATGCTAAACGCCGATCTTTCTATTATAGCAGGAAATGTTAAAAAGTCTGATTTCTGGGCCTGTTGGATTACTGAGTGCCTTACTATGCCTTAAAGTTTTACTTAAGGAAGATTCAAATATTAAATTTTTAACTATTACATATTCATCTTTATAACTAGAATTTCGAAGTAAAATTTGCCTAATCATAAATGAAGTTAACAGCAAAAGAAAATGACATGATATCTAGTTTCACTCAATTATCGTTAGGTCTACCTTTTTTTAATTAAAAAAAGAGGCTTAGGGGTAACTGGGTGGCTCAGTCAGTTAAGTGGCTGCCTTCACTTAGGTTGTGATACCTGGGTCCTGGGATCTAGTCTGTGTGGGGCTCCCTGCTCAGTGGGGAGTCTGCTTCTCCCTCTGCCTGCCGCTCCCTCTGCTTGTGCTCTCTCTCTGTCAAATAAATAAATAAGATCTTTTAAAAAATAAATTCATGGGGCACCTGGGTGGCTCAGAGGGTTAAGCCTCTGCCTTCAGCTCAGGTCATGATCTCAGGGTCTTGGGATCGAGCCCCGCATCGGGCTCTCTGATCAGCAGGGAGCCTGCTTCCTCCTCTCTCTCTCTGCCTGCCTCTCTGCCTACCTGTGATCTCTGTCAAATAAATAAATAAAATCTTTTTTAAAAAAATAAAAATAAAAAAATAAATTCATAAAAAATAAAAAATAATTAAAATAAATAAAAAATGTTTATTATGGTAAAACAAGTAGTATGTAAAATGCACCATCTTAACCAATTACAAGGGTGTATTCAGTGATCCATTAAGTGCATTCCCATTGTGCTAGGAGAACCACCACCCACCCAAAGAGCTCTTTAGGACTTGCAAAACTGAAACTGTGTCATTTTTTTTTTATAATTATCTTCACAGGTGTCTGCAAAACAACAAGATTAGATCCATACCCATCTATGCATTCCGAGGACTCTACAGTCTTACTAAACTGTAAGTACTTGCACAATCAGTTCACCAGTCCTGCAGTTTGTCCATTGCGCAGCAGCTCTCCTGCCCACAGCAAGGGAAGGGTGGGCGCAGCCCTGTCCCTGAGGGGTTCCAGCTCAGACAGGACCATGCTTGAGTCCTGACTCCAGTAGTCCTTATTTCTTCTCATCTTCATCAATACTTCTTATTGTCTGGGAGTTTGTTGCTTGGGGATTTTTTTTTTTTTAACAGCCATCTTAATGGGAATGAAATGGTATTTCATTATAGTTAAAAGCAAAGCTTTTTAAAGACCTGACGGAAGTAAAAAAAAAAAAAAAAAAAGCAAAGCTTTTTAAAATTGGCTTTCTCAAAGTTCATTTCATTGAGTTTTAACTAAGCAGCTGAACCTAACCTCCTGTAAGAATTAATAGCATGGAAATATAACCAAAAATCTCTTAAATCAACAACTTCCTGTATTTTTTTCTTTTTTTTTCTTTTAATTATTTTTTTATTAACATATAATAATTTGTTTCAGGGTACAGGTCTGTGATTCATGTCTTAAACAATTCACAGCCCTCACCATAGCACATAACCTCCCCAGTGTTCATCAGCCAGCCACCCCATCCCTCCTACCTCCCCTCCCTTCCAGCAACCCTCAGTTTGTTTCCTGAGATTAAGATGCTCTTATGGTTTATCTCCCTCTTGGGTTTCAAATGAAACAACTTCCTATATTTCTATTTCTGCCCCCCTTGCCTTCTGTCTTATACCACCTTTTTAAAATCCTAATCCAAGAAACTCATTCCAGCCAGATTCCTAGTTTGTGGCATGAGGGTTTGGGATTGAGGAAAGGCTGTCTAATGATTTTACTAGCAAAATGAAAGAAGGGCCTTGGAGACTCAAAGTCTTAAAAGTAACCACTTTTGACAAATCCTCTTTCCCTTCTATCCCATCCCTGTTCTTTACTGTCTTGGCAAATCACCCAAAGTCAATACTGGATTAATTCCCAGTAGACTCCTGACTATCTTTCTCTCTAATCCTCCATGAATCTGTTTAAAATTTAGTAAACCACATCTGCTTGGTTTAATGTTCAGTGGATGTGAACAATAGTCCAGGCTTGGTTTAGAGTTCCACGGATGTGAAGAATAGTACCACAAATTTTAAAGGGTTCGCCATCTCCTTCCATAGTTATTCATAGCACTGGAATATTGTTTGGATATTAAAGATGTCACACACTTCTAGATTATCAGCGATAATCATTAGATTCCTGCTTTTCATTCATCCATAAATATTCATTGGCCATTGCAGTGTGTAAATTTTTCAGCCAGACACCATGGGGAGGTGGCATAGGAAGATAAGTCGGACAGGCTTAGGAATTCCAGCAGCTTACACCCTAAAGTTTCAGGCAAAGGGCTATGCTACCACTAGAGAGAGGCATGCCTCTTGCACTCTGGAAGCTTATAATCTAGGGTGGGGAAACAAAACCAGTTTTGTGATAAATCAGTTATATGCAAAATAATTAGAAAATGATAAAAGAGGTTACTTAATTAAATCCTAAACCTGTGTTGTTCAGACCAAAACTGCTATTAAGATTCACTGAAAGGGGTGTCTGGGCAGCTCAGTCAGTTAAGCATCTGATTCTTCGCTTTGGCAAAGGTCATGATCTCAGGTCATGGGATTGATCCTGGCATCATCGGGCTCTGCACTCAGAGCAGAGTCTGCTCAAGATTCTCTCCCTTTCCCTATGCCCCTCCTCCTGATTGTGCATGCACTTGCTCTCTCTCTCTCTCTAAAATAAATAAATTAAATAAATCTTTAAAAAAAAGATTCACTGAAATGAGTGACCATTTGGGATCTAGAGTAGTGAGGGATGACTCGGGAAAACAGACAGGACTGGGCTAAACAGATGAGTATAAGATGTGGGAGGGAGTCAAATGCCTTGTATCTAGGGGATTGCTATTGGCTTTTAAAGGAGACCCCTGAGGCACATGCACCCCAATGTTTATATCATCACTATTCACAATAGTCAAAATATGGAAAGAGCCCAAATGTCTATCAAAGGATGCGTGGATAAAGAAAGTGTTAATACACACACACACACACACACACACACACACATAATGGATTATTACTGAACCATCAGAAAGAATGAGATCTTGCCATTTGCAATGACATGCATGAAACTAGAGAGTATTATGCTGAGGGAAATAAGTCAGTCAGAGAAAGAAAAGTGCCATATGATTTCACTCATACGTGGAATTTACAAAACAAAACAGATGAACAGAGGAAAAGGGAGGGGAAAATAAAATAAGATAAAATCAGAGAGGGAGGCAAATCACAAGACACTCTTAACCATAGGGAACTGAGGGTGGCTGGAGGGGAGGGGGTGAGTGGGTGATGGGTGTTAAGGAGGGCAATGGTTGGGATGAACACTGGGTGTTATATGCAAGTGATGAATCATTAAATTCTACCCCCTGAAACTAATATTACACTGTATGTTGACTAACTTGAATTAAAATAAGATCTTGAAAGGAAAAAAAAAGTAAATAAATAATGAATAAATATAAATAGATAGATAGATAGATAGATAGCCCTGAGGTGGTCATGAGGAAGTGTTGTAGCTATTCTTTACCCTTCCTGTGACTAAATGGGGCTCCAGGTTTACAAGGGAGGGAAAGAAGTGGCTCTAATACAGGACGTCATCTCTTGTTATCCCTAAGCAAAAGTCAAACCTGGTAGGGACAGGGGAGACTACCGGCAGGAGAAATTTTATAACATGTCAACTCTAAAAATTGTCAGGAAAGAGAGAAATCAGTGTGGTCCATGTATCCGCTGGAAGTAAAATTTCAACTAAAACTTGCATATGAATCATAGGCAGAGAGGAAAAAGAAGAGAAGTCAGAATGGTAGGCATGAACAGAGGTGCTGTTGTCAGAAACAATATGCGCTGAGTGCTTATGACATGCGTTGCCTCAAACGTTACCTCAAACATTACCACAACCTAATAAAGTAGACACTAAAATTACTTCCATGTTAGAGTTGGGAAAACTGAGGCTTTCAGAAGTTAACTGCTTCATTAAGGTCACACTATTAATAAGTAGCAAAGCCAGGACTTGAACTGACAGCAGAGAGAGCAGCACATTGCTTGCTAAAGAGACTGAGGTAGAAATAAACATGGCGAGAGGGCGGGAGCAACGTAACAGAACAGAGTTGGTTCACTCTGCAGTAGGGTTAGAAGTAAAGTTGGGTAGGTAAAGTGGGGTCAAACTCTTTGGTAAGGCATGCAATGTCCTTTTTTTCTAGAACAGACCCCCGCCTGCCTCCCAGATTCACTCCCTGTCTCTCTTCCCAGCCCCTTCATGGTGAGGCTGCACTGAGATACCTGGTGATCCCTTCCCTTGTTACTCTCTCCTTCAGACTTCTTGCTTTTGCATAAGCGATCTCCTCCGCCTATATGAACTCCTACCCATTCTTTGCTTTGCAAATGACATCTTCATCCAAATCTCTGTCCATCCAGTTGTGCCCTTTTAGTAAAGGCTTCTGTGTCCTGACTCCTCTGTGCCCTGCAGTCCCCACCCCCAACAAAGCTAAGTGCTGTCCACGCAATGTCAGAACAACCATACCTTGTGCACATCTCTCTTTTCCCACATTGCTATAATAACCTGTTTGTATTCTGCCTTCCCTCTAGACTCAAAGCCCCTCAAAGAAAGGGATGATACACCTAGCACAGTGCCACAGAGTAGGTGTGCAAAACAATTTGATTAGTAAAGGCATAGGTGAATGAATAGAGTGTGATTGATTGATTGATTGATTGATTATAGGGGAACTAAAAGCTACACATGAAAAGGTAAGTGACCAAGTCCTTTTAGAGACCCCAAAGAAGGAAAAAGTTGTGATAAGAATAGCATATAAGAAAATCTAAGATGGATGACTATTGTTTTTCCTTTCCTTATTATAAGATATCAAGAAAGTAACACATTTGGGGCACCTGGATGGCTCAGTCAGTAGATCATGCAACTCTTGATCTCAGAATTTTAAGTTCGAGTCCCACATTGGGTGTAGACGTTACTGAAAAATAAAATCTTAAAAAAAAAAAATTCAAGGAAAAAGAAGGTAACACATTTCTTGTGGTCATTTCTCTTTTCTCAGGTATCTCAGCCATAACAGAATAACTTTCTTGAAGCCGGGTGTTTTTGAAGATCTCCACAGACTAGAATGGCTGTATGTTTAATTTACACGGCATTTTATAGAATTGGTTTTTATATTCTAAATATATAAATGAATCAATTTTTTCTTCTGGCTGGCAGGATAATTGAAGATAATCACCTCAGTCGAATTTCCCCACTAACATTTTATGGACTAAATTCTCTTATTCTCTTGTAAGTACTAAAAATTAAAGCAAATATTTCAATTGAAGGAAAAGACATGAATAAAAATTCTGCTTTAAGTTTAACAGTATTAAATATGGAATTGTTAAAGCCCCAAAAAGGCCTTTACAACTACAAACCATCTCTTAATCGTATTCTAATGGCTATTTTATAGTTTTAATAATCTTATAAGGTCTTCTGTCTTCTAGGATATCAGCCCATCAAAAATAAATATAGCCTAATTTCCATATTTTATTGAAATATTCTCAAGTACACCATTACTGCCCATATTAATCTTGATAAAGAAAAATAACATTAATTGAAAATCAATTTCTTCTCACTACCCACTTTTGATGGGAACAGGCTTTCCTTCAGTTACTAACTTTGCTGCTTCTTCCATATGACAACTATCATTTGTCGAATTTTATTACTAACAAGCAATCACTTAAATATAACAAGACTGACAGAGGGAAAAAAAGAGAGAAGACAACTAACGTAATAGATTTTTGTGGTTTTATAAAGAATAATGATAATACCATGTTTGACTTAAGATGAGAGAAGAACCAGAAAAATGTGACTTCTTTTCTTCCTTTTCTTTTTCAGAGCATTGATGAATAATGTCCTCACCCATTTGCCAGACAAACCTCTTTGTCAGCACATGCCAAGACTGCATTGGCTGTAAGTTGATGAACCTTTCTTTACATAAGTTATCTAACTTCCCTGGTTTTGCCTAGTACACTTTGGATATTAGGTTTTTAAAAAATGATATGTTGTTAATGTCATATCACATTTCCTCAAATAACTTTAGTATGATTTTGTTATTAAACGTGCCCATTATCCAAATTAACTCTTCTAGACTCTTGCCAAGATGAAACACCTCACACGCACACACACAAAAATTGGAGGCAGGAAGAAGAAAGACAGAAGGGATGTCACAGTAGCTGTAGAACATCTCTTCCTTCCTTCTGTCATCTATTTTCACCTATTGATTTGGTACAGAAAGACTAAGTCACTTTAGTCTCATTTCTAAATTCTGCCTAATGAGAATATGATACTTAGAATTTATTTTTGAAGTCTAATCACAATAGAATATGTCTCATGGAAATGTTTACACAGTAACTTTGCTTATGGTAATAAGTATCATTCTACCTGTTCAGAACTCAATTACCCAGTAAATTTGCCTACTTAACATGCAGGTAAAAAATGAAGAAACAAGTAACCAAAATAACTATTTAAAAGTTCAGTAAACCACATGTACAGTATTATATGAAAACTTTCTCTTTCATTTTGTAGGAAATTCTCAGAAGCTTTTTTTGTTGCTTGATTTCTAAACTCACAGCAGAGTAGAAGAGCCAGATTAAAAGTTGAGGGGAAAAGGACACCTGGGTGGCTTAGTTAAGCATCTGCCTTTGGCTCAGGTCCTGATCCCAGAGTCCTGGGGTAGAGTCCCACATTGGGCTCCTTCCTCAGCGGGGATTCTGCTTCTCCCTCTGCCTATTGCTCCCCCTACTCTCTCCCTCTACCCTCGGCTCAAGTCATGATCTTAGGGTCCTGGGATTGAGCCTCTACTTGTGATCTCTGTCTGTCAAACAAATAAGTAAAATCTTTACAAAAATAAAAAATAAATTTTAAAAAATTAGAGTGAAAAGATAAGTTCAGAACATTAGTGTGAAGTGACAACAATCGACCTGATAATAAAGCAGGAGTGAGAAGTGCTATAAAAAGCAGACATAATAACTCAAACACACTAGTTTGGAACCATTTAGAAGAAGACAAACATCCCCAGAATCATTACTGAGTCCAAAGGGCATTTTGGTATGACAGCATAGTACCCTCCCTTGTTGACAAGGTAAAGTATTCAAAAAAAGGGTAATTTAAGTTCAATATCCTTTGTTGTAATTAAATTTTATTTCAAATGAAGACATTAAACAGTTATTACATCCTCAGTAATCCAAGCTTAGTAATAAAGCAAAATTGATTAATATTTACATAAGTAAATTAGCAATTAAAAACTCATGTGCTGAGACCAGAAGCAAATGTAGGAGATATTATGCAATACATTAATAAGCATTTCTTGTGCTTTTAAAAAGGCATCCTAATATACATCTCAGATAAAACTTTATTTTTTAAAAGATTTTTAGGTATTTGAGAGAGATAGAGCATGTGGGGTGGGAGGGATGGGATGGTGAGGGGGTGGGTAGTGTAGGGGAGGGCGCTCACAGGGAGAAGCAGAGCAAGGAGCCCCATAGAGTGCCAGATCCCAGGACCTCAGGATCATGACCTGAGGCGAAGCCAGATGCTTAACTGACTGAGCCACCTAGGCACCCCTCAGATAAATCTTTAAATGATTAAGATTTATTACTAAAGGGGCACCTGTGTGGCTCAGTCTGGTAAACATCCAACTTTTTTTTTTTAATATTTATTTATTCAGAGAGAGAAAAAGCATGTGTGCAAATGGAGGGAGGGGCAGTGAGAGAGGGAGAGAGAATCCCAAGCAGACTGTCCACTGAATTGGCTGCCCCACTATGCGGCTCGATCCCACCACCATGAGATCACCACCTGAACCGAAATCAAGAGTCAGAATCTTAATCAGTTGAGCCACTCAGGCACCCTAGGTTAAGCATCCAACTCTTGGTTTCAGCTCAGGTCATGATCTCAGGGTCTTGAGATCGAACCCCAGATTGGGATCTGTTCTCAGTGTGGGGTCTGCTCAAGATTCTACTTTTCCCTTCCCTCTCCCTCTACTGCTCCCCCTGCTCCCGCATGCCAGTGCGCGCTCTCTCTCTCTCTCTCTCTCTCTGTCTCAGAATACAATAAATAAATAAATTTAATATAAAAAAAGATTTATTAGTAAAAAAGTGGACATTTACAATTTCATCACTAGTTACTATCTTTAAATTTTAGCTATCCAAACAAGTCATTTCATATGCATTCCTGACAGTATTATCCCAATGTTAATGCTAATAATAATAATTTTTGCTTTATAAATATTCATTTCTGCTAAAACTAATCACAATACTTTTATCTTGCACATGAACTTTTATTTAGCAAAGTATAAACTGAAAAATCTGTTTCATGTGTTGGTAAAGAAAAAATTATTTAACTGATTTACTGGGAAAATATGCATAAAATAAAAGACATATGACAGCCCCGGATAATATGCTTACCAGATATGCGACAGACAGCAGATTAAAATCTTTACTATCATTGTTTCAAAGCAAAAAATAAAAATTGTAAACACCACAATAAAAGTTTGGAAATTCAAAAAGTTGGAAATATAATTAATAAATAAACCACATGAACAGATGGGGCAATAGCCAAAGGTGAACCAAAAATCAAGACAGTAAATTAAACTTATTTTGAATGGAGATGAAGTAGGTTTATAATTATAGGTGGGAGAAGCTAATATGAAGAATTTGAAACTATAGAAAATGATGAAGATACATTATGGAGCAAGGTGCTGGAAGACGTGGGCCCAGATGGAAAAATAAAATGTGATGCACACACAGCATTTAGAATGAATGGACTAACTCTACTTCAATCAACACAGCTCAGTTTTAAGAACATAATATGAATTCTAAAGAAAAAGTTACCAAAGAGTACATATATCATGATTCTATTCCAACAAGATGCTTAGGATATGGAAAGCCACAAAACAACATTGATTCCTTTGTATGGATGAGAAGGAACTTTATCATCTACAAAATAATATTGAAAAAATAGACTTTAGAAAAGGGACTATAACCAGGGATAAAGAGGATATCACACAATGATAAAGGGGTATGTTCATCAAGAAGACATACTAATCTTAGATGAATAAACAGTTTCAAAATAAATAAAGTGATAACCATAGAACTATAAAGAAAAATAACTTGGAGTCAAAAGACATCACTTAAAACCAACAAATCCACCGTATGTAGGTATCTGATATTCCTAAGATGAACATTATAAAAAACTTACAACTGATCAAAATCATATGGTGGGAGAAAAGTAGAGGAGCATAAAGAAATACAATATATACTCATTTTATCATTGCTTATAAGATAAATTATAACAGGAAATTAATAAGTATTGTTATTCTCTAAAAAAGAGAAGATATGGTGTATTGGGTATGTTATAATTACAAAGATAACCAATTCTAAAGATAACCTTTCTAAAGATTAAAAGAAAGTTTTTTTAATTTATTGAGAGTTTTTTAACCTATAAAAACCATATAGTAATATTTTTAAATAGCAGACTAAAGTCAGATATGTTAGTCATATCAGTACACTTAAGCAGGCTTAACTTAACTTTTTAAAAAGAAAAGAGATCATCAAGTTGGCACACAAACCAAAGCCTAATTCAGCGCTATTTACACAGAAAAAACGAAACAAAACAAAACAAAACTATAACTAAGTGATTAAGAAAGATAAAAAACAAAAGGCTGGTCTACAATATTCCATGTAGATGCAAAATAAAACAAAACAAAAAACAGACATCATATTTTTTTCATCTAAGTAGGTAAAATTCTAGCCAGTTTGCAATAAACAACACTAAGAAGAACATTCAAATGCTATAGTGTGAAATTCCTCACAAAAGATATTACATTATAAATATATATGCACCAAATAATTCGTGTAGTAACCAAAAGGGATATGAAGAACTAAATAGCATAACTAATGACCCAACTCCAATTTATGTATATCAAACTGCAGTGTCCCTTTTCAATAACAGAACTGATCTATTTGGGACAGCAGTGTCTCCAGCAAAAATACAATATTCCCAGACTTTCCTGCATCTTCATATAACCACATGACCAAGCTCCACTAAAGAAGGTGGAAGAAGTATAGTGTGGAACTTCTGGGAAACCTCCCTGAGGTAAAATAGGCAGGCTCTTCCTTTCTTTCTTTATCCAGAAAACATGGATACGATGGCTCAAGCTTTAGCATCATCCTGGACCATGAAGACAAGGGCATGTAAAAAGTGAACATGAAACAACTTCATAAAAATACCATGCTGTCCCCAGACTACTGAACTGTAGTTATGTATTTATGCTCTTATGGTTGGGTGTGTGCTAGACGTACCTGCACCTAATTCTAACAAATATAAACCTGAAAGCAAACAAGAGCCAAAGAACATTCACCAAAACTGACCATGTGTTTTAGGACATATACATACTTAAGTCAAACTCAAGAAAATAGACGGAGGAACTAGCTTGAAACAGGACAAGGTTCATCCTCTTCTTGAGACTAGGAGACCAGGTGTATGTACAGGTAAGTGTGTAGATGTTGAGTAGAAGGTCAGGGGCTTTTCCCTGCCTCATCCCCTCAATTTCCTCCTTGAAATAGGAGCCAGAAATCTTTCATAAGTATGGGGAGGATGCAGAGGTTAAGCAGATTTGCATGTTTAGAATGCCGCTAGGGGTAGGTGAGGAAGCTAAGAAACAGGCAAGATTATTGGTATTGTTATTGTTGTTCTTCAGCTCAAAGAACCAGATTTTCAAGTTTATGCCTCAAACCGGGTTCCTGTGTATCAAGGACTAAAACCTCTCATTTTAGGAAGAAAGCCAAAACAAATTCCCAAATAAAGGTTAAAAATGAACTCAAGGGGCGCCTAGGTGGCTCAGTGGTTTAAGCCTCTGCCTTCGGCTCAGGTCATGATCCCGGGTCCTGGGATCGAGCCCCGCGTCGGGCTCTCTGCCCCGCGTCGGGCTCTCTGCTCGGTGGGGAGCCTGCTTCCCTTCCTCTCTCTCTGCCTGCTCTCTGCCTACTTGTGTTCTCTCTCTGTCAAATAAATAAATAAAAATCTTAAAAAAAAAAAAAATGAACTCAAAATTAAACTAAACTGACAATTTAATCAAAAGTCTCTAACTGATGTCTCGAGGTGTGCCTCTTACTGCTTTTTACAAATTAGTAAACTAATACTAACAAATATTTTTGTCAGCTTAATAAAAAAAAGATGCCATAATAGTAGGTAACAAGAAAAATATATCGACTCACCCAAGGATACTTTGTGAGGCTTAAGGAAGTATCACCACCTGGTGGTAGTTTCATGGTAACAGCAATTAAAAAGGAAAGAAGTGGACGGTCTCTGTCACTGACAGTATATATTGAGAGACCAGAAGCTTTGACCAAAACTAATGACCAAAAAAAGAAGTACTATAAGTACTTAGTTTCCAATTTAATAGGAGAGTAGAATTTTTTCTTTCAAAGGATGATCTAGAATCAAGATTTAAGACTTAATACAATATTCCATATAGTACGGAAATCCTGTCTACAAAAATTCTTCAGTTATGATGTATTGCTTCTGTACATATCTGTAGCAATAATAAGCTATTCTCTGGACACTAGATTTTGAGCTGAAATTTGAAATATTTTGTGACCTTCATCCAGTAAATCTAATGTTGCAACCTGATACAACGTAGAAAAACCTTAGGATATCTTCTACAGCCTGACTTCAAATAGAGCTCTCCTATTTTGCACTTTTCTTATACGAATACACCCTTTTACTCAATTGACTTGATTTCTAGGCCCCTTACACCCTGGTCTTCCAGATTATTCGATATGTCTTGATTTGTCCAAGTCTATTTTTATTGCAATGCCCAAAATAGAAGTATCCCAAATACAGCCTAGCCAGCAGAATATAGGTACTTCTTTTAGTGTTACCCATTTTGCCTGGCAGATTTTAATACCTGTGTCACACTTCAGTTCGTATACTTTAGTTGCAATTGTTCTTGAATGGCTCCATATTATTGGTTACCAGGAAACTAAGTATTGGGGTAGACCGAACAGATTTAAAGACCTACTCCTGAAAGTATATCCCTAAGCTCCGCTAACGCTCTGATCTACAAACCTCCACCATAAACCTAACAATAAGATAAAAGACATACAATAAAAGAATGCCTTCATGATCACCATAAAGAAGAGACACTCAAACATACATTTTTGGCATGTTTTACTTCTCAGACCAAACTCCTGCTGGTGACAGCATCACACAGCAAGAGAGCGTAAGCAGGGTCTATGTGCATCTCTCTGAACTGGAAGTTGGAAAGCCAAAGACAGCATAGTCTGCGTGGCAATATAATAAAGCAAACAGTGGTGTTCTTGGCGGTAAAAGGTTATTGAGAATTTTCCTAGGGTGTGTTTAGGCAAGGGAGGTAGAGGTGAAATTCTGTTTGGGCAGCAGAAGCTTCTGCAGCAATAATAGAATCTTCTGCAGACATAGCAAATAGGGTCACAACACTTAGAGAAATGCCATTGGTAACTCTAGACAGATGGTTTTTGGTTGTTGTTGGTTTTTTTTTAAAGATTTTATTTATTTATTTGACATACAGAGATCACAAGTAGGCAAAGAGACAGGCAAGGGGTGGGGGGAGGGGAACTGGGCTCCCTGATGATCAGAGAGCCCAATGCAGGGCTCGATCCCAGGACCCTGAGATCATGACCTGAAGCAAAGGCAGAGGATTAACCCACTGAGCCACTCAGGTGCCCCTGTTGTTGTTTTTTAAGGAGATGGGAGTTTTTTAAATATATCACAAGGGGGTGCTGTAGACAGATGTTTAACACATATCACTACTAAATATCTGGTAAGGAAGTGGATATTTATCATAAAAAATTTTTTTTAATTTTTCTTAAAGATTTTATTTATTTATTTGACAGACAGAGATCACAAGTAGGCAGAGAGGCAGGAGGAAGCAGGCTCCCTGCCAAGCAGAGAGCCGGATTCTGGGCTTGATCCCATAACCCTGAGATCATGACCTGAGCTGAAGGCAGAAGCTTTAACCCACTGAGCCACCCAGGTGCCCCTATCATAACAAATTTTTTAATTTGACTTCTCATTCGCTTCACATTTCTCAAGGTAACATATGTACTCATATGAACATATGATACAGATATAACAAAACATTTTTACTATGAACACAAAAAAAGAAGCATTACATATATGTATTATTTTAGCTCTCATGTAAGTGGCTACATGTGGGACTCTATATGAAATAAACAGTATGTGAAAAAAGATATTTTATTAGAAAGCGAATAGTTCTTGACCAATTTATTTCTATGATTAAAATTTAGCTTTATTGTTTTTGTTTTTATGTTTCAGGGACTTTGAAGGCAACCATATCCATAATTTAAGAAATTTGACTTTTATTTCCTGCAGTAATTTAACTGTTTTGTAAGTAGAGTTTTACCCTTTTGAAGTGATATCATATCTCTTTACAAACAAATTTAATCATTTATGTGAACATAAGTTAGCATAAACATGCACAGTAATTATGACAAATGTTCACTTATGACTTAAAGTTTTCTGAAACCAAAAATTTTGCATTGGCAAAATTATTGAAGTTCACACCAAGCTTGATCAAGATTCACAACATGCATGGATCATCACAACCCTTCTGTAGTATATGAGACCTGTCTTTCTCAAACTTAAGTAATACCCATTTTAAAGGAAAATTTTCATTGACCACCTCAAATCTCTCCTTGGATCTCAGTTTGAGAAACACTAAATTAGTCTTAATCTGTAAGAATGTTTGCCCTTTGCAAATTACAACTGTAAAGATGGTGGAAAAAATTTAATTACAACCAAAATTTTTTTTTAATGTGGCAGAATGTCTACACTCCTGAAGATATAATTGAAGACACCAGGATAAATTTTAGAATGTTATTGAGTATAATTTCTCCTATGTATTTCTGTTCTATTTTAAAGACACACTGCTTTTTCCATGGAAAAGCATGATGGAAGGATGATGGAGCTTCTTTCAGTATAAAAACACAATTGCCTCATTTACGGGTTATTTTTTCAGAATAGTGTTTTTCCAACTGTGGGTTGAAACTCACAAGTGGGTGATGAAAGCAATACGGTATCTTCTGACTAGCTTATCTAATGAAACAAAGCTGAATTGAACTAAATTGAATTGAATTGAATTGAATTGAAATATCAGAAAGCAATTCAGATGGTTAAACGTACTGTTTCTTAAATCTTGGGTTCTGTGGATGTATGTTAAGCCCAATGTTTTTAAGAGCAGTTACCATGGGCAAAGTTTGAAATCCACCAAAGTAGAATCTGTCTAGAAACCACCCCAGAATCCATCTTGAAATCCATGCTAGAAACCATAATACTAGGACCTCTGTGTATAGGCAATGCAATAGCTATCCCTGATACAAAAAAAATTTTTTTTCTAGTATCATCCTGCATTCCAATGGGTTCAAGCCCCTGAGATGTCTGAATTCTTGCACGATGAGCTCAGCAGTCTTCAGGTGCAGGATGCCTCATGTCAGTCACGCAAAATAGTTCTTACTAACTGCTGGAAAGAAACCAAGTGGCACCTGAAGGACATAGACCAAAACTTGCAGCTTCTTTGCTGTTCTACTTTTATATGTTTTTAAAGAAGCCTCTGTGTGAGGAAATCATCTGTGAGTTTCCTCTTGGCAGTTGCTTGTGCTTTCCTGGTCTAGAGATACTGGCTGGAGGTGGTAATGTTTGGAGAACTGAGAGAAAATAAATGCTTCAGGATGGAACAAGGCCAACCTCTGAGCACATCACACATTTAAAGAATTGAAAACATTTTGAGACCTTTTTTAAGATCTTATTTATTTGTCAGAGAGAGAGAGAGAGAGAGCACAAGCGGGGGCGGGGCAGGGGGGTAGCGGGTAGCAGGCAGAGAGAGAAGAAGGCTCCCCACTGGGCAAAGATTCCATATAGGACTGGATTCCAGGACCCAGGATCATGACCTGAACAGAAGGCAGAGGCTTAACCAACTGAGCCACCCAAGCATCAGGCTTTTAAAACTTTTCCATGAGTTACTCCTTTATGCTGGCTCATAATACATGAGATCAGTGCAGAAATGAACTCGTCAAGAATTACATACAGTCTGTGGAGCTCCTGGGTGGCTCAGTCAGTTAAGCATCTGCCTTTGGCTCAGGTCATGATCTCAGGTTCCTGGGACTGAGCCCAGATTAGGGTCGCTGCTGAGCTGGGAGCCTGCTTCTCCCTCTCCCACTCCTCCTGCTTGGGCTGTCTCTCTCTGTGTCAAATAAATAAATAAATCTTAAAAAAAAAAAAAAAAAAAAGGAATTACGTACATCCTGGTTCAACATCTAAAACTAGAGATCTCCTGAATTGGTCCAGTTTAGATTAGACATCGTTAGAAAACTCCCCCCCAAGTTTCATCGCCTACCAGATGAATGAGTGCTACTGTGCACCTGCGCCCAGGGTGTTCTGTTAGCGAGAGAAGCTAGGCAGATTAAATGTGCTCTCTGTTGCAAGAAATCAGTCTGTAGTCTCAAGAGTTCACTTTTCACTATTTCCCTTGCAGAGTTCTTCCCTACTTTACTTAAAATTTTGAATAATATTTTATTTTTATCATCATTAAAGATTTGAGAAATTTAAAACTAAAATCAGACTGGATAAGTTTCTGTACTACAAAATACTTGATGTGAAAATGCACTATATATAATTATATTTTTTTTTCAGGCTATTAGTCTTCTTTCCAAAAACTCATTTATCACTTACCTCAAGGAGCCACAACATATTTTTTTTTCTTTTTACTTTCAGGGTAATGAGGAAAAACAAAATTAATCACCTAAATGAAAATACTTTTGCACCTCTCCAGAAGCTAGATGAGTTGTAAGTTTGATAAGACTTTTCCTTCTACTGTTTTAGTTCATACTTGTTACACATATATGCTTCTGTACATTTGAGAAATATTTATCTCTTTTCTAACCATTATTTATATATACTTCGAGCCATAAATGACCTCAGATAGCTTACAAAAATATACATAAATATATATGTATATATGTATATATGTATATATATAAAATAACTATTTGAAGAAAATGAGATAAAGGAAACATAGCTACAAGGAAATAATAAAGTCAGGGTAAAATTAATAAATAAAATATATCCTACATCACTCTGTCCCACTGCTAGAGAAGAACAGCACATTGTTTTTATGTTCCTTAGAGAGTTAGGATTCAGAGAACATAAGATAAAAGACATACTTTGCTAATTCCAGAAATAAAAGATAATGTTGGATCCACAAAGATATTAGATGTCCTTGGATAACGTCCCGACCTATAATAATGGAAGAGAGACATAAGTTAAATCAACTGTTTACACTGTCCTTCTTTTTTAAATCAATGACTCAGTTCCAAAGGGCATTAAAACAACTCTCTTATAAACCAAAGCTTTGTGGCCTAAGCACATAGTAGCTGATTGTCAGAATAAAATATATGTTGAGGGATGGATGAAGTACATGTCCTTCAGACAATTATTTTATATTTTACTATTAATTTCCTCTATTGGATTTTGCTAAAGTTTGCAAACTACAGTCAACCCTTGAATAACTTGGGGTAGAACTGTGCAAAAATTAAGTCTCCAAATCATATTCCTACTCTAATGCAAAAGGAAGAAGGGAATGAAGGGAAGAGGAAAAGAGGCACAACATTTATATCAATTAAATTAAATTAGAAAATTGAAACAAGATCAAATACCATCAAGCATTTGCCTCTGAAGAAGTGATGAAATGGGATAAATTATTTTTATATTTTCCCACTACACTTGCTTTTCTAAAACTTTTAGACTTCTGGTAATTAATGTACCTCACTAATAGCACTGTTAAAAAGTTGTATAATCATTTCCTAACAAATTACAGAACAATGAATAAAGTCTTAAGAAACTAATATGACATGGTTGCAATTGTTTCCCTAGGGATTTAGGAAGTAATAAGATTGAAAACCTCCCACCGCAACTATTTAAAGATCTGAAGGAGCTCTCACAACTGTAAGACTGATACTAATTTTGTCATTTCACTTGTTTTAATGTCTTTTATTTTTTTAATTTTAATATATATAACTCAAAATTTAACATTTTAACCATTTTTAAACGTGCAGTTCAGTGACATTAAGTACAATCTTGCTGTACTACCATCACCACCTTCCCTCTCCAGAACTTTTTCATCCTCCCAAACTGAAACTCCATACCTATTAAACAATATCTCCCCATCACCTCCCCTGACCAACATCTCTGTTCTGTATCTATTAATGTGACTATTCTAGGTACCCCATATAGATGGAATCATTTAATAGTTGACCTTTTGTGACTGGCTTATTTCACTTAGCATAATGTCCTCAAGGTGCATACATTTTGTAGCATGTGTCAGAATTTCTGGATATTATTCTGAATAATAGCATTAATTCATAACAATATTGTTCTAAATAGTAATTTATTGTATATGTATGTATATAGATACATATGTATATATATACATATATATGACATATACATATGTATACATATGTATAGAGAATATGTATAGAGAAAAATCCATTTCTGAAATTTGTTATTTTACAAATTCTTTGTAATTTCTTTGTAAAATTTCTTTGAAAATATAATATGCACATATATATACATACACATATATATACATATACATATATATGCTGCTATGAATATGGGTGTATAAATATCCGTTTGAGACCATTCTTTCAAATCTTTTCAGTATATAGCCCAGAAATAAAATTGCTGGATCATAAAATAATTCCATTTTAATTTTTTTAGGAAGCGGCACGCTGATTCCCAAGCACCTACACCATTTTCATTCCCATTAGCAGTGCACAAGTATTCCAATTTCTCTACATCTTCAACAACAGTTGTTCTTTTCTCTTTTTGGGGTAATATTTATCCTAACAGATGTGAAATGTCATTGTGGTTTTGATTTGCATTTCCCTAATGGTTAGTGATGTTGAACATCTTTTCATGGGCTTATCGGCCATGTATCTTCTTTGGGGAAGTGTCTATTCAAGTCTTTTGCCTTTTTTTTTAAATTGGGTTTGTTTTTGTTGTTGAATTGTAGGAATTCTTTATATATTTTAGATAGCAAATCCTTTTCAGTTATATGATTTGCAAATATTTTCTTCTATTCTGTAAATTGCCCTTACACTGTGTTGATAGTCTCCTTTGACATACGAAAGTTTTTAATTTACATGTAGTCAAATTTTTCTATTTTGTTGTTGTCATTGCCTATGCTTTTGGTGTGGTATACAAGAAATCATTGCTTAATCCAGTGCCCTGAAGTTTTTCCTTTATGTTTTTTTATTCTTCTAAGAGTTTTCTAGTCCTAACTTCTATATTTAGGTCTTTGATCCATTTTGAGTTGATTTTATACATGAGGTAAGATAAGTTCTAAGTTCGTTCTTTTGTATGTGGGAGCAATCTGGTTTTCCCAGCTCCATTTGTTGAAAAGACTGTCCTTTTCCCCATTGAATTGTCGTGGCACCACATATACAAAGGTTTATTCCTGTGCTGTCTATCCTATTCTACTGGTCTCTATACTCCTCTTTATAACAGTACCACCCTGTTTTGATCACCATGGCTTTGTAATAAGTTTTGAAAATGGAAAATGTGAAGCCTCCAACTTTGTTCTCCTTTTTCAAAATTCTTTTAGCTATTCAAGCTCCCTTAAGATTCCAAGCAAATTTCAGAATGGATTTTTCTCTCTATGCCAAAAAATATTAGGATTATGATAAAGATTGCACAGAATCAGTGGGTCACTTTGGGGAGTATTGACTTTTTTTAAAATATGTGTTTATTTATTTTAGAAAGAGAGCACAGGAGCGGAGGGGAGGGCAGAGGGAGAAGGAGAGAATCTTAAGCAGACTCTGAGCTTAGTATGGAGCCAGACACGGGGCTCAATCCCATAAGGCCAAGATCACACCCTGAGATCAAGACCTGAGCCAAAACCAAGAGTCGGATGCTTAATCAACAAACCAACTGTGCCACCCGGGTGGCCCAGGGGAGTTTGACATCTTGACAACACTAAGTCTTCTAATCCATAAACATACAACGTCTTTCCATTTAATGGTGTCTTTTTAAATTTCTTTTGGCAACATTTTCTTTTCAAACACAAGTCTTTCACTTCCTTGGTTAAGTTTATTCCTTAATATTTGATTCTGTTGATGCAATTGTAAATGGAATTATGTTTCGAATTTTCTTTTTGGCTTGTTCATTGTTAGTGTATAAAAACTCATTCAGTTTTTGTGTAGTGGTTTTATATTTGGCAACTTTGCTGCATTTAGTTATAAGTTCTAACAGCTGTGTGTGTGTGTGTGTGTGTGAGAGAGAGAGAGAGAGAAATCTTTAGGGTTTTCTACACATAGTATCATGTCATATGTGAACAGAGATAATTTTACTTCTCCCTTTCGAATTTGAATGCCTTTTTTTTCCTGGCCTAATTTCTCTGGCTAGACTTCCAGTACTATGTTGAATAGAAGCAAAAGTGGTCCTCCTGGTCTTATTACTGATTTGGGAGGAAAAGCTTTTAGTCTTTCACCATTGAGGTTGATGGTAGTTGTGTGCTTTCCATATATGGCTTGTGTTGTGTCCAGATAGTTTCCTTCTAGCCTTAGACTGTTAAGTCCACTTTGTTTCTTTAATACAACTGAACTTTCCTTTTCATTCTTCCTCTCTTTCCTTCTACAATCACTGCCTCCCAGAAGATCCCCCATTTAACTAAGAATCTAACCTAGAATAAATTTCTCAAAGAGAATATGCCCTGAGAAGCTCCCTTTAATCAATGATTCTTATCTCAAGGTGTTGTTTGTTTGTTTGTTTGTTTGTTAACAAAGACTCAGAAAATTTTTCCATCAAAATTGAGCTGCACTGTCTCTCTGATCTCTCTCTCTCTCTTTGTTCCCGGCTATCGCCTTTTGCTTTCCATTTCACGCCTCACAAATCATTAACACAAATGTCACTCTTTGGCATAAGATTTATTGTAAAAACCATTCAGGGTGATTCCATTAATTCAAATTTGACAAAATGAGATGGTTTTTCATTCAACTAAATGGGATCCTAGGCAAAAGGTGAGGTATGTGTGGTTTCTTGCCGAGACCTCTACTGCTTCCGTGGTAGAGCCATTTCTTGACAAGTCCACTTTTGTTCTTATATTGTCTCAGTTCCCCATCACTAACAAAATCATAGTGCTAATTAAAAGCCAGGCACAATTCTAGGTGTTTTATCTCCATTAATTCATTTAAATATTTAGTGAACTCTGTAAGGCAAGTGCTGTTCCTACACTTTTTTGTTAATGTTTAAAAGTAATCCAGTCAACAGATACACTTTCTCTTAAGAAGTCTCTAGAAATGACCTATTGCTGCCTTTTTTTTAAAAAAACAGGAATCTTTCCTACAACCCAATCCAGAAAATTCAAGCAGATCAATTTGATTATCTTGTCAAACTCAAGTCTCTGTAAGTATATACCTATGGGGATAATTTTATGATGAAATTGTTATTTATACACTAATAACTAATAAAGTCTATAAAATTAGATTTGTAGAATCTTTCAAATCAGAAGCTTTATTCCCAGGATATGAGTTAAACACTGCAGAACCGTATGGGTACTCACTAGGCTATAAACAGATAGTTTTACCTTACATATTTATAAACTAAAAATCAGATAATGATTTTATATTTTTCTATAATCACCAGGAGCTTATATTGGATTGTTTGCTTTGATTCTCTGACGGCAACTCTGCATATTCATTTCTCCATTAGTACTGGTATCTAAAAATTTATTATAGCCACTTTTATCCCAAAGATGCAATATTCTGGATTATGTAAATCAGTACTCACACCACACACACACACACACACACACAAATCTGTTATGGTCTAAGAATTGCCTTTAAAAGATAAGTTCAGTTCATTTAATTTAAATGTACCCTCAGTAAAATGACATCTTATTAGAAAAAATATATTATTTAAAAATTATTAGAAAAATTTCAAATCTCTCTGCTTTTGTAATATTGTCTGAAAGATAATGTGTGTTCATTTATTCCACAAACCCTCATTGAGAAGTTACTATGCACAAAGCATAGGATCTATAAGGATCAAAAAAATTCAAATAAAGGAGATATCTGTGTATAAATGCCGGAATCAAAAAGGAGTTAGGAAGTAAGTGCATAGGGCAGGCTGAGTATGAATGTTTGGTTCACAATCAGTGTTAACAGACAGCATTTTGTTAAACTGCCCCTCACAAAAACTCATTTTATTACACTCTTGTAATATATGTTATTTTGATGATTAATTTGATGTTTTTAGCAGCCTAGAAGGAATTGAAATTTCAAATATCCAACAAAGGATGTTTAGACCTCTACTGAATCTCTCTCACATGTAAGCAGATATTTTTCTTGTTTTTCACCCTGATTTCCATCTTTTATGTTTCCTCGTGCACTGTGCTAATACATCCATACCCAAAGCATCCAATCTATCAAATTTTCTCCTGACTCATTTGTCTAATTTATTATTCCTAAAGTGTTGCTATTGGGCGGGATGATTTTTAGCACTCCAAGGTTTAGTAGAATCAAAGGTGATTTTTTAAATGTCAGAGAACATGAGGCTGGAGGGAAGGTACTCAGTCTTATAAGCTCTCCTTAGCTCTAACACCATTCATACATAGGGATGTTTGCCTGATGAGCTAGTAATTCACACACATGGTGTAAGTGCTACCAGATGAAGAAATAGGAACTTATATAAACAATACAAAATAATTGTAAATAATTAATTGCTGTAAATGGAGGAAAGCATGGGAAATACTCCTCAGTAAAAAATGCCGCCAATGGCAGGACGTGATTGAAGCAAATTGGTATGGATAAAATGGCAAACTTTGAAAAATCTCTTGAAAAATCTTTTATTCAAACAATGTGTATTATGGTGCCATTGATTCTTTATGATGGAAACATCTTTCTTTAATTGAGGGCAGTCTTACAGCAGATGTTAGATTGATCTCAATGCCAGGGTAATTAAGTCCCAACAATTTAGAAAGTGTCATGTCCAGCAACACCCCTCTATAATTCTGCTTATATTTTAAGTCTAATGCAGGACATTCTTTTGGTTTTCCATAACTCTTCAGAGAGAATACTTAATAAAAGTTTCGTTGATTGCACACAACATAAAGCACTCGGACGGATGTAAGCCAAATACAGTTTATTGGGAGAAAATGGTATAAATCATAAAACCATAGAAACATAAAAAAATCATAAAACCCAAGAAACAACTCAAGGAACAGACTTGAATTGGGCAGAAACCATATCAGATCTAAGGGATTCAGGCAGCAAGAGTTAAACAACAGGACGATATACTGTAATTGTCAAGCTTTTATCTTGTGTTATTACTACAGCTCTCTACACTATAAAGATCATTTAGATTTTTTGCCAGAATACGTGGCTTTAGAGGAAAATACATCTAATTTGAACTTCAATTTCTACATTTATTAGAAAATTTCATAGTAAATAATTTGCCTCCGCTGAAGATTCATCTCTTCCTATGGTGGTACTGTTACGTAATGCATGGAGTTGACTTGAGAATTGATTCCCGATACCGAGGAGATGCTCAGTCAATAGTGTAGGTGTTGCTGGTAATACAGTAGCAGTTACTGATTATCTGGGTGGTGTCTGTATCAATAAAACAGGTCTCTCTATTGATGAAAAAATTAACTCAACAAATATTTATTGAACACCTTATTATGTACCAAAATCTGGTCGAGAGATAAGCATGTGAACAAGAAGTTAGAGCTCACATAATGACTTCTGTTGTAGAAAAGCCATGGAAGCCAGAGGAGAAAACATTTGGCTCTCTCCTCCCCTGAGGGCTGAGAAGCAGGATTAGTTGGAGCAACAAGAGGAGCACATAAACACTAAAAATCCAATAAAAGTTTCCTTAGATGGATTAATTCTCTCGATCCCATGCTAATGGTTTATTTATGTTTCAAGACATGTCTAACACTTGTATATTCATGGTGCCTATTTGCTGCTCTGACCCACGCATTCTTTTGCAGTGAAATCAAGTTTACAAGAATTAAAATTTCAACCTTTAGTATCCTTAGTGTTTTACCTTCCTGTGAGCCTCATATTAAGATGTTTTCTTCCTCCTGATAAGATGTAGAAAAGAAATACGAATGTATTGTGACACTGAATTAAATTTGAAATCTTATTTTACTTTCTCTTTGTGCATCAGATATTTTAAGAAATTCCAGTACTGTGGGTTTGCACCCCATGTTCGCAGCTGCAAACCAAACACTGATGGGATCTCATCTCTAGAAAACCTCTTGGCAAACATTATTCAGAGAGTGTTTGTCTGGGTTGTATCTGCAGTTACATGCTTTGGAAACATCTTTGTCATCTGTATGAGACCTTATATCAGGTCTGAGAACAAGCTACATGCCATGTCAATCATTTCTCTCTGCTGTGAGTATTTCCTGATTGAAGAGGAATTATAGTTTTGAAATACAGAAGAGCACTGCTATGAGAAAATAAGGAAACAGAGTGGTAGAAATATGAGATTTTACATTTTCCTCTTTTCTGCTTCTATGTTGTTTTCATATTCACTATAATGAAAATAAAATGACTCTGGTAAGAAGAAAATAAGTTTTTAAAACAGGAAAATTCAGTTACCTTACACAGATTAATGAAGCTCTTATTAGTTTTGTCTTGTAAAGAAGCTCTCATTCATTAGTTTTCTTCTCTGAAGACATGTTTTGTTAAAGCATGTAAACTCTTTTACTATGAATAAAATGACAACCTTTCACAGTCACATTTTTATATCCAGGGTTGTATTTACTTTTTTGTTTGCATCTCTGGGTCCTAGATATTGACTTACCTGATAGCTGGGTTCCTGGTCTCTGAGCTATGAAAATCTCTTCCATTCGTAATTTGAGATATTTGAATAAAAAAAATGTTTTTAGATAGTATTAAAATTTTTAAGTTTTTGAAATGTGATTGCAGAGTACTGTGTTAAATGAGGACTACAAAGAAAAAAAAGTAAGAAACCAGTGGTCAGGCTGTTTATAGTGTGGGTCACATGGCCTGTAATGTAGCCATACTTTCTCCAGCGAGTATCAATCTACACGATGTTTTGCTTTATGTTTACGTGTCCAGGCTCATTCAAAGTCTATTGTCTTATTGTTTTATTCATTGCAAGCTACCTAGGAAATAGAAGTCGGAAACTGGTTACTACTTCATATTGTTAATTACAAAATTTTGAGTATGCTCAATTGCTCTGGGGAAGGCTAGAGTATAACTTCAGTTTTCAAGAATTAGGACCAGCCTCATCATTTATACAGTGATGTGATTTCAGAAACCTTGTGTAGAATCTCTGTGTAGTAAAAAAAAAAAAAAAACTCACCTACTCTCGGATATGAAATATGTGCTTAAAAAGCAAAATCACCAAATAGGGCATCACACTGACAACTGATTCTGGGGATGGGAGAGCCTAAAATGAGACAGTGAAAGATGTAAAAATGGGAAGAGAGAATCAGAGAGAACAGATTTGCTTAGACCAGCTCTGGGTAAATAACTCAAGCCTTTCAAAATTATACTGACTATAGAGCATTTATTTTTTGGTTAAGATTTTATTTATTTATATGAGAGAAAGAGAGAGAGAGCACAAGCAGGGGGATCGATGGGGAAGAGGGAGAAGTAGGCTCCCCAGTGAGCAAGGAGCCCCATGTGGTGCTCCATCTTATGACCCAGGGATCATGACCTGAGCTGAAGGCAGAGGCTTAACTGAGCCACCCCAAGTGCACCTATGGAGCACTTCTTAATTGTTCATATCTTCTAAATTGTAGACCCCAAAATTCACAGTCATTAGTCTACCACAACAACTTCTGAATTATTTTCCCTAGAATTTTGGATGATATTCTTAGCTTGTTAGGCTAGGACCATATTTAAACAGAAGATATGACCCTAAAAATAACATCCCCATATTGGTCCCTAATCAAAGGCTCAACATAATTGCATTTTTTTAGATTTTATTTATTTCAGAGTGAGCGAGCACAAGCAGGGGGAGTGGTAGGCAGAGTGGCAGGCAGAGGGAGAAGCAGCCTCCTCGCTGAGCAAAGAGCCCAACTCCAGGCTCAATCCCAGGATCCCGGGATCATGACCTGAGCCAAAGGCAGATGCCTAGCTGACTGAGCTACCCAGGTGCCCCTCAACATAATTACATTTTACCCATTTACTCAACGCCTCTAGGTAACAAGACCAGAATGGAAAACAAAATAGACAAATCCCTACTCATACAGACCTGAAAATTTCAAAAAAAAACAAAAAACAAAAAAAAACAGAGGACATGATTACGTAATTAGCTATAAGAGGGTGCTATAAGAGTGGTTATTGAAGAGAGCTGCTGAAGAGGTCCTTACCCATAAATGAACTGCTAGAATAAAAAGTACCTCCTCCCAAGTGGAAGTAAATTAGATATTTTTTGCTCATACTGAAAATACTACCACTTATTGTTAATTCCATTATACCTATTTATTTCTCTAAATTTGCAACATCTCCTGATCCTATAGGTGCTGACTGCCTCATGGGAATATATCTGTTTCTGATTGGAGCCTTTGACCTCAAGTTTCGTGGAGAATACAACAAGCATGCACAGCTGTGGATGGAGAGTATTCACTGTCAGCTTGTGGGATCTTTGGCCATTCTGTCCACTGAAGTATCAGTGTTACTTCTAACATTTCTGACACTGGAAAAATATATCTGCATTGTCTATCCTTTTAGGTGTTTAAGACCTAGAAAATGCAGAACAATTACAGTTCTGATTCTCATTTGGATTACTGGGTTTATAGTGGCTCTCATTCCACTGACCAATAAGGAATTTTTCAAAAACTACTATGGCACCAATGGAGTGTGTTTCCCTCTTCATTCAGAAGATACTGGAAGTACTGGAGCCCAGATTTATTCAGTGACAATTTTTCTTGGTGAGAAACTCTGTATTATAAGTCCTTTTATTCAATTCCTAGAATAAATCAAAATGTCAATCTCATTATTTCTTCTAATGTTTATAAATTTTTATTTCAGGTCTTTTTTTTTTAAGATTTTATTTATTTATTTGTCAGAGATAATGCATGCAAAGCAGGGGAAGTGGCAGGCAGAGCAGGCAGAGGGAGAGAAGCAGGCTCCCTGCCAAGCAAGGAGCCAGATGTGGGACTCAATCCTAAGACCCTGGGATCATGACCTGAGCTGAAGGCAGACGCTTAACTGACTGAGGCACCCAGGCTCCTTTTTTTGTTGTTGTTAAAGATTTTTATTTCATATCTTCTAACCAGTTTTTCACATTGACATCAGGGATGGATTCTGTCAGAAAAACCCTAAAGGGTTTTTTCTTTCCCCATGAATTACCACTTTATCATATAAGTTCCAATATGCTCCTTAATGACAAAACGGTAAATACTTGTATTTCATGCAGTCACCCTAATAATACTAAATAAAACATATTTTAACTCTTTGCACTTATAATATGAACAAAGTGAAAATAGCCACATAAGTCTTTGCCTTGAAAATAGACATACAAGAGTTTTTTTCTTGTAAAGAATATTCTCAGAGGGAGGTTAAAGAAAAAAATATATATTATAAAATATATATTTTATATATAAATATATACATAGTCTCAAAGTATAACTTAAATTAATTGAATTATTTTTAAAAACTATAATGATTAATTTAAAAGACCCAGGATATTCACTGAATCACTATAATCTCATTTTAATATGCCATTTTAAAATTAAAATTCCCTCATTCCTCATCAGTTCAACATTACTTCCATTTTTTGAAAAATTCATTTTTGTGTACTTTAGTGATTCGTATGTAAAAATAAAAAACATGTTCATGTTCAAACAGCTAAGAGTATGTATGTTTGTTTTGAAAGTCTGCTCATACACATCAATAATAATCTTTGTGTTCTAAAACAGGTGTTAACCTGGCGGCGTTTATCATCATAGTTTTTTCCTACGGAAGCATGTTTTACAGCGTGCATCAAAGTGCCATAACAGCAACCAAAATACGGAATCAAGTTAAAAAAGAGATGATCCTTGCCAAACGTTTTTTCTTTATTGTATTTACTGATGCATTATGCTGGATACCCATTTTTGTACTGAAATTTCTTTCATTACTTCAGGTAGAAATACCAGGTACGACTTTTTTTTTTTCTTTTTGTAAAAAATTAATAAATCTGTCTCTGCAGTGTTCCTCTAAGAAGGAAAATTAAGATTCTTAACACCAACTCATTTTAAGAATTTTAAGTCAGAGTTGTATTGCACTTCAGGCTCTGTTCATCAATCGAAAGTTTACTGGGAAGCAGCTATTCAGTTATTTCTGTAAATGCCTAAAACACAATTTTTCCAATTACCATTGGAACAAAATAATGACTCAAATAAATAACACACTATGTTTTGTAATTCTGATAATGCCATGCTTAAGAAAACCAAACAGGTAAAAATGATTATGAAATATTTACTTCATTTTTTTCTTTTTTTTTAACTTCATTTTTTTTTTCGAGAACATAAGACATTTTTCTTCCCAGAGTACAGAGCGATTTAGAGAACATTATCCCAGACTGTGAGAGATGATTGAAGGTGCATTCCTAGTATTTAAAAATATTGTACATCATGCTCATTAGGATAGCTACTATCAAAAACACGGAAAATACCACAAATCGGTGAGGATCTGGAGAAATTGGAGCTCTTGTGCATTACTAGTAGGAGTGTAAAATAGCACAGCTGCTATAGAGAACAGCATGGTGGTTCCTCAAAAAATTAAACATAGAAATACCATATGACCCGGCAATTCCAATTCTGGGAATTAAAGTAATTAAAAGCAAGAACTCAAACAGACATTGGTACACTCATGTTCATAGCAGCGTTATTCACGATAACCAAAAGCTGGAAGTAATACAAGTGTCCATCAATGGACACATGGATAAATAAAGTGTGTTGTACACACACAATGGATTATTACTCAGCCTTATAAAGGGAAGAAATTCTGAAGCAACGTAAGACATGAATGGACTTTGAAGACTTCATGCTAAGTGCAATAAGCTAATCATCAAAGGAAAATATTGTATGATTCCACTGTATTCGACTACTCTAGCAGTCGAATTCATAGAGACAGAAAGTTTGTGAGTGTGTCACCAGGGGTTGGGAGGAGAAGGGGGTAAAGAGTTATTGTTTAAAAGGTATGTAGTTTCCGCCGGGCAGGATGAAAAAGTTCTGGCGGTGGATGGTGGTGATGATTGCACAACACTATGAGTGTACTTACTGCCACTGAACAGCACACTTAAAAATGATAAAAATGGTAAATTTTATGTTATGTATATTTTACCACAATAAAAAAATGTGCAAAATGCTATTAATTATGAGTGCAGCATATAGTCACATTTTTAAAAATTATAAATATACAATTTAAATTTTGTTTTATCCCATGGTTGGTGATAATAGTATCTTACATTTTATAAGCAACAAAGAGAGAAAAGAGCATCAATTAAATTATAAGAACAAATCTGAGTTATTGGTAGTTAACTCTGACTACAGTAATTTTTAAGATAAGTTTAGCCAGCAATGTTTTTACCAAAATAAACATCTAGTCAAAAGCCTAAAAGTGCATACCTATTTTTAAAACCAAAGAGATAGCAGAAAAGAAATCTATATATTTTGATAAATACTGTATGTACTACCCAGCAATTAAAATATTGTAAAAGGTGTGATTTGAATGCTAAATGATACTGTTTTTCCAAAAATGAAATCATATCACAATAATATGTAATCACTTGGTGGAAAATGTTTCTACCTAATGGAATACATTTATTGATTATTCAAGAAAAGCTACTTAGCGAAGAACCCTGTTTTTTTGCGGCACCAGCACTCCCCTCAAACACTGGCACCCTGGAAAGACATCCTGGAAACACATTAGACTTGGTATTTAATTGTGTGACATCAAAGGGAAGAAATTAAGACTCAAAAAGGGGTTGGGGAGGAAACAAGGAAAAGGGATTTCTATACCTTGTAAACATCCATGAACACTAAAACTACTACATTTTTCTCTTCTAGGTACCATAACCTCTTGGGTAGTGATCTTTATTCTGCCTATCAACAGTGCTTTGAACCCAATTCTATATACTCTGACCACAAGACCATTCAAAGAAATGATCCATCAGTTTTGGTATAACTACAGACAAAGAAAATCTGTTGACAGCAAAGGAAGTCAGAAAACATATGCTCCATCATTCATATGGGTAGAAATGTGGCCACTACAGGAGATGCCACCTGAGTTAATAAAGCCAGCTCTTTTCACAGACCCCTGTGAACTGTCACTAATTTCTCAATCAACTAGACTCAATTCCTATTCATGACCGACTCTGAAAACCATTGCTACACAGGGAATATTGTGGGATGTTTCACGATGGATTCATTAGTATAAAGTGAATGCCACAAAATTAATAATTTATAATGGCTAAGATAAAGCCATTACAAGGACATGAGGTTGTTTGGGAAAAAATCAAAGTGATGGGGGCCCGTATAAAGGGAAATAAATTGTGTCAATAATATGTATATACTAGTACATATTTTGCATAGGAAATTAAGGGAAATCTACTTCAGAAAGATTTATTCATTCTTTTACCATGCATTTATTGAGGACCCATTATGCACGTAACACTGCAGTAAATTTCTGGAAGTGCACAGTATAGAACCTTTTCAATTTGCAATGTTAAATTATGTGTAGCTACAACAGAATATACAAAGGCCATCTGCAGTACTTAGTTTAAGGTAGAGCTTTGTCTGTCATGCACATCAGCAAACATAAAAATCATGAACACTTGTAAATAAAGGTTTAAGGTTTTGGAATACTAATATAATGAAAAATGAGGAATGAAAAAAATGTCTGATTGTTTGCAAAATAGATACTTGTTTTAAGAATTCCTCTTACCTTTCTTGAAGTCCCTGACTACTTGAGAGGTAATACACAAAATTACTCTGAAAAAAGATGTTCGGATATAAACTCAAAATAGCACTTCTCTATACATCCTCACATTTACTGTCAACTGATTTTCAGCAAAGATACCAAAACAATCAAATGAAGAAAGAAATGTCTCTTCAACAAATGATGCTGGGACAACTGGATATTCACATGCAAAAGATTGAAGTTGGACTCCTACCTTACACCATACACAAAAATTAACTCAAAATTAATCAACAACCTAAATATAAGGCATAAACCTCTTAGAAGAAAACATTTGGGTTAATCTTCAAAATCTTGGATTTAGCAATGGATCCTAAGATGTGACAACAAAAGCATAAGTAACAAAAGGAAAAAATCAATAAATTGGACTTCATCTAAATTAAAAACTTTGTACACCAGAGAATGTTATCAAGAAAGTAAAAAGACAGGACACCTGACTGGCTCAGTAGGTGGACCATGTGACTCTTGATCTTAGGGTTATAAGTCCAAGCCCCACATTGGGTACAGAGAATTACTTAAAAATAAAATCTTTTTTAAAAAAGAGGTAAAAAGACAATCTACATAATGGAAGGAAATATTTGCAAATCATATATCTGAGAAAGAGTTAATACCCAGAATATATAAAGAACTCCTACAACTCAACAAGATAAACAATCCAATTTAAGTGGGCAAAGGACTTAGAAAGACATTTCTACTAACAAGATACACAAGTGGCTGATAAACACTTGAAAAGTTGCTCAACATCAGTAATCATCAGAAAAATGAAAACTAAAACTGCAATGAGGTAGATTACACTTTACACATACTAGAAAGGCTATAATTAAAATAACAACAACAAAAAAAGTATTGTCCAGGATGTGGAGATTGAAACCCTTCTGCTTTGCTCATTGGAATGTAAAATGATGCAGCTGCTATAGAAAACAATTCGGTTGTTCTACAAAAGCTGATCATAGAATTACCATGTGATCCAGCAGTTTCACCCTTAAACCCAAAAGAACAGAAAACAAAACTCAAACAGGTACTTGTATGCAAATGCTCATTGTGTCAGTTATTTACAGTAACTGAAAGATGGAAACAACCCAAGTGCACATCAACTAATAACAAATAATAACAAAGTGTTGTATATGCGTACAATGGAGTATTATTCAGCCATTTATAAGAAAGAAGTTCTGACACATTATCTACAACATGATGAGTATGAAAGAAGCCAGACACAAAAGGACAAATACTGTATGTTTCCACTTCCAGTAAACAACTGCGTGAATATGCTAAGCCGTTGAATTGTATACTTTCAATGGATGAATTTTATGGTGTGTGAATTAGATCTCAATAAAGCAGTTAAGAGGGAAAAGAAAGGAAGAAGAGCTAGAATGCACTGATTCAGGAAGTTAAGGAAGGAAAGTCTGCACGTACATGTTTTACTTCAAAGAGGAAGTAGTTGTTATCAAGAGATGGACTTACCTTCCTTTTGCATGGCCAGCCAGTTCATGAGATATTAACTTTTTAGCTACTTATTGTTCTGGTCTCTGACTGAGCTATTGGAATTTTTGCTCTCATAATTTGAAATCTTTAAATAGGAATAAAATGTTTTCAGGTACTTTTAAATATACCAAAAATGTTTGAAACATGAAAATACTGGAATCAAAAATATATTTATTGAATAAAAAATTGTATATATTTCTTTTGAAAGTAAATTGCCTACAGTTTAATTCTATTAAAAATGTGGATTACTTTGAGTCCTTTCTGTTCTTACTTGTAATAATGCCAATAAATTTTCTATATGAGGGATATGGTTATTGTTTCAGCAAAAAAAGTCAGAGAATAATAGAAAGCTATAGTTCTGCTTATGATATTCAATTCTCAAGGACCTGGGTCGTTCAGTCAGTTGGGCATCTGACTCTTGGGTTTTAGTTCAGGTTGTGTTCTCAGCATTATGAGATCGAGACCCACCTCAGGCTTTGCACTCAGCTCGGTGTCTGCTTGGGACTTTCTCTCCTTCTCCTCACTGCCCCCTCCACATGGTCTCTCTCTCTCTCTCTCTCTTAAGTAAATAAATAAATCTTTTAAAAAATATATTCAATTCTCTAACTACTCAGACTATACAATTTTTAAAGCCTACAAAAATGAAAATACATTGGAATTCTCTTATGAGATTATTTTAGGATTATTATTCCTTTTTTTTAAAGAATTTATTTATTTATGACAGAGAGAAAGATCACAAGTAGGCAGAGAGGCAGGGCTGAGCAGAGAGCCCAATGCAAGGCTCCATCTCAGGACCCTGAGATCATGATCTGAGCCAAAGGCAGAGGCTTAACCCACTGAGCCACCCAGGTGCCCCCTATTTATTATTCTTAAGAAGTCTTATTACTAGTAAATAATGGGAAAATATTTTTCCTTTTTTTTTTTTTAAGATTTTATTTATTTGAGAGAGAGAGTGCAAACATGCATGCTTGCTCACAAATTGGGTTAGGGAGCACAGCATGGCAGAAGAGGAGGGCAAGGGATAGGAACAAGCAGACTCCCTGCTGAGTGGGGGGAACCCTACATGGGGTTCAACCCAGAGATCATGACCTAAGCTGAAATCAAGAGTCAGACACTCAACCGACTGAGCCACCCCAAAAAATATTTTTCTAAAAAAGAATTTCTGCAAAAGAAAAAAGCAGGGGCACCTGGGTGGCTCAGTCAGTTAAGTGTCTGACTCTTGATTTCAGCTCAGGTCATGATCTCAGGGTCATGATCTCAGGGTTGTGAGATCCAGCCCCAGGTCAAGCTTATATGGAACTCCGTGCTGGGCATGGATTCAGCTTAAGACTTTCTCTCTCCCTCTTGCTCCGCCCTTCTCTCTACCTCCACATGCTCTCTCCCCCCACCCCAAAAAAAGAAAGAAAAGAAAAAAAAAACGATAATCATGAAGACTACATAAAATGTAATCCTACAAAAATTATAATTCTAACCTATGTTTATGGGTCTTAGAAATGCAGTGAATTTACAAAATATACACCTCAAACTACTTTTTAGCATTTAAAATATTTTCAAATAATTTTCTATAGACAACTTGGTTTGTCTATTCAGTCTACTTAACTTCTTCCATCTTTCCGCCTCCCCAAATAGAGTAACTTCCACTTAATTTAATTTGGTAAGTAATTACTAGCATACTGTGTAACTATTTCCTACTAACTTCAATGGAAGTTACAGTAGAAGCACTAAATTAATGCAGATACAAGTCATGGTTTTCTCTTTTACAAAAATAACTTTGGTCCAAAACTCATGGACTATGCTCTAGGTCAAATCAATCCTCTAAGTTAAACTAAAGTGTTTTAAAATGTAAAAATAAATATCAGAAAGACCTCAACTCTTTTTTTTCTATTTTTAGTTTAAGGGCTCCTATTACATCCAGCTAATACCTAATCTCTCACAAGGAAATTACTTATTTACTGCCTTTTAGCAATTTAGACACTGATAAAATTGAAGGAAAACAACAAATGGGAAAGGGATATATGCAGCCAGAATGGTGAGGTCCATGCATGTCATTGCTTAATAAACTAAGTAGTAAATGAATTGATAATTCAGTGTGATGGAGTGAAGCACTCTAGGTAAGACACTTCAAAAATCTATTTTTTACTAATGTACTCCTCTTTTAAAGAGAAAACCCTTCACTAGAAACCTCATTTACTCTGTTTTAAATCCTTTTCTTAATCTACATCCTGACAGTCTTACCTACTTTAAAATCTGTGGTTTCAATTACTATGTATATACTGATGATTCCCACATTTTTGCCTTTAGCTTATTCTCTTTCCTAAATTAGTCACTTATACGTACAAATGTCCCTAGACATTACCACTTGGATATCTCACTGGTTTTTTAATGTCATTAATATGGACCCTGACTCTGACATCTGCATCTCTTCCAGACCCTATCTGGGTGAATGGTACCAACAACCTAACCTAGAAATCTTTGAGTCATCCTTTGGCTCTTCCTTTTCCTTTATCCACTATATCAAAATCACCTAGCACTACCTTTATTCTATGTAATAAACAGCTCTTAAATCTGTCTACTTCTCTTCATCCCATTTCCTAATACCTAAGCTTGGGCCAACATCATGTCTCATCAACTATATTTGCAATAACCTTCTAACAAGTTTCTATACCTCCAGTTGTAATTTGCTCAAGGGATTTGTATAGGTATTTAGAGCTCCCAAATTAATCTAAGGGAAAAAATTGAATATTATAGTTACTACCACCAGTATTCTATGATGGGTGACTGAATGGACAAATGTGTTCAGTTCCATTTTTAAATGGTGTGTTAGTCGGAATTCTCCAGAGAAACAGAATCTATATAAAGAGATTTGTTGTAAGAAATTGTCCCACATGATTATGGAGTCTGGCAAATCCAAAATCTGTAGAACTGATGTCCCAGTTCAAATCCAAAGGCCAGAAGATATTGTAGAACTAAGAAAAGCCAGTGTCCTCATTCAAAGGTCATCAGGCAAGACAAGCCACTTTTTCAAGGCCATAGGTAGAATGGTATGACTCAGGGGAGGAGCAGCCTTTTGTTCTACTCAGGCCTCCAACTGGTTGAATGCTTAACCCACTTTACCAAGAGCTATCGGCTTTACCCAATCTACCAATGTTAATCTCATCTGAGAATACCCTCAAAGGAGCACCCAGGTTTGACCAAAAATCTGGATATCCTGTGACCCAGTCGACACATAAAATAAACCATCATCATTGGGGAAAGTAAAAAAAGTGAGCTTGAATATTAATAGGTCTAACCAAGAGTTAGGTGGCTAGGTATGGTAAAGATAGGCATATTAATTTTGGTTTAAGAGACCCATAGAAAAATCATTTCATCTCAGCCTGTTTCCTATTCTGTTTCTGTAGACAGGAATAGTATCACTTTCCTCAAAAAGCTAATATGAAATAATGCTTACAAAATTCCTAGCATAGTGCCTGACAGATATTTCATACTCAGAAGTTTTGAAACACATTGTCTTTAATATTAAAAATTTCATCATACTGGGCGCTTGGGTGGCTCAGTTGGTTCAGCTTCTGCCTTTGGCTCAGGTCATGATCCAAGGATTCTGGGATCGAGCTCTTTGTTGGGCTCTCTGCTCAGCGGAATTTGCTGCTCCCCCTGCCTGTGCTCTTGCTCTCTCTCTCTCTGGTTCTGTCAAATAAATAAATAAAATCTTTTAAAAATTTTTTTATCCTATTGACTTTGGCCTCTTAAGTCTTTTAATTATATTAGTCAAAATACTGTTTTCCTCTGAGGTTTATATAGAGCTGGTAATGAGCTACTAAGAAAAAATTTGAGTCTCTAAGAAAACATGGGGGTTTTTAAAAAAATTTTATTTGACAGAGAGGGAGCAAGCACAAGAAGGGGGGGAAAGATAGAGGGAAAAGCAGACTCCCTGCTGAGCAGGGAGCCTTATGTGGAGCTCTATCCCAGGACTCTGGGATCATGACCTGAGCCGAAGGCAGACACGTAACAGACTGAACCCCCCAGACCCCCAAAAATGTTTGTTCTGAAGCCTTCCCCAACCCCTCCCTGAAGCAGAGCAAAAAAAAAAGGGGGATGCTTTAAAAAAAAGGGGGGGTAGGGGTTTGTTTGTTTGTTTTTAAGATTTTATTTATTAGACAGGGAGATCACAAGCAGGCAGAGAGGTAGTGGGGGGGGCAGGCTCCCTGCTGAGCAGAGAGCCCTATGTGGGGCTCCATCCCGGGACCTTGAGATCATGACCTGAGCTGAAAGCAGAGGCTTAACCCACTGAGCCACTCAGGCACCCCTAAAAAAAGGATACTTTTCCAAAAAGCAACTCTTAAAAATAAGATGAACTTCTCTGCGGGCCACACATGGCAACAGAAACTGTAAACAAAGCTGAGCTCTGGGCCTACCAGACTCTTAACTCAGACTAGCAGCTGAGTTTTAGTGCTGAGGAAAAAAGTAAGTGTCCACAGAAAGCTCACTGCTTAAAATCAGGGGTTAACCTCAGCTGACCACAATTCAACAAAATTAGAAATGAACGAACACGATTTTTCTTTTCCAACATAAAAAAATATATACATGGTTGGAGGAGGAAGTCACACACACCAAAATCAAAGTAGTACAGATCATACTTATGATAAAGCTATAACAGAGGTTACAGGGAATCTTATCATAGGGTTAGCAAATAGATCAGATTAGAATGATCTCAGAACCAAGCATTTATATGGTATTTGAATGACAGAGATAGCATTTGAAAATACTGATACTTGGAGGAACACCAAGACACATGCAAAAATAAATAAGATCCCAAAATAACACCATAAGCAAAATTCAGATAGATTAAGCACCTAAACATTAAAAACAAAAATGTTTTAACTTTTGGAAAGATGTAAAGGAGAGTATCCTTTCAAAATAGGACCCAGAAAGCACTATTAGGAAAAACTGGTAAGATTTCATTAAAAACCTTTATTTACGAAAATTCCACAATCAAATATGAAGATGAATCACAAACTACAAAAGATAGTTAAAACACAGAAAACAGATCATTAGTATTCAAAATATGTAATACCTACAAATTGATACGGGAAAAAAAATAATAGAAAAATGGACAAAGCTATGGCCTCAGAAATCACACACTGCATTTCCTGAATCTCCCAGTAGTTACACAAGTAGTTACACAAGTCAGCACTACTTAATGTACTTAATGTACATGGGCATAAACACCAGGAGGCGGACTGTTGTGGCCATCTGGAGGCTAGCTGCCACATACATGAAATAGTATTTTGTACTGCTTTGATACATATGCATTAAAAATATAAGAACACAAACTAGGATACATATCACTTCTAGAACAACAGTTACCTCTGGGGAGAGAAGAAGGGATGGGATCAAAGAGGTAACAAAACTTTCTAATGTAACTAACATTTACAAATATACATAGATTTGAAGAAAGTATAACTAAATGCTAACGTTTATTAAATCTGCATGGTGAGAATATGTCCTCTAATAATTTACTCTTATGTTTTAAATATTTGAGTAAAAGTTTTAAAATAATGAACCCAAAGAAAAGAAATAAAATCTGCTTTGAACATGTTTATTTCTGTATATTCTGCAAATTGCAATTTTGATGACATAAGAAAAATATTTTTCTAATATCAAAATAAGTATCTCTTTGGTAGAAACACACCTCATATGCTATCTTTAACTTAAAAAAATTAATCAAGAACTATGACCTAATATACTAAATAATACTATTCTTTGTCCATCCATTTGTTCCCACTATAGAGCTTTAGAATATAGTTCTATACACATCTCCATATCTACAAAAGAATTAAGATACCATATCAAAGATGCCTACCCGTTATGGAGAATTAGTTGGCTTAATCCCTGACATATATGACATAAACCAGCAAAAAGAGATAGAACAATCTAAGATATGGGACAAGTAAATTAGAACATTGTCATTAAAGTCAAATAATATGAAACCAATCACATCATTTAAATTTGATGCATTAAAAACAAAGTATCTTTAGAATGATTGTATTTAGAATTTAGAATTATTATGTGCAAAGTTCAAAAAGCAGTAATACAGAGCCTTAATTTTGATAAGGCACTTTAAAGAGAACAATCAAACATACAACATCACATAGCAATTAACCTGAGAAATAAAAAGGGAAAAAAAAATTATATATATATAATCTTTCCAGACAGGCTTTCATTTTCTGAAGTAAAATCTTTTTATAAAGCATCATAAGGAATAAAAAATATTTATCATACACTTTTAAAAGTTATCAGTTAAATTGCAAATTCCTATAAAGAAAAGAATGTCTTCCTAAAAAGTCTGTGAGGTTCTAATTCAAATATTTTTTAGAAAAACAATTCTAAGTTTCATGTGAAAAAAAAAAAACAGCTTTCAACTGTATTGTCAACTCTTTTATTCAACAAACATTTACTAGCTGTTGTGTGACACTGTCATTGTTCTAGGTGCTGGGGATAAAGAAGTAAGACACAATCATTAGTTCCAGGGAACTTGGCGGGGTGGAGCTGGGCCAACACTGGTAACCTTAGTTACTTCCCTTGGTCCATAAAATGAAGCTCAACTTCAAACGCTGGCATTTCTGACATCTTCTTAGAAATCAAACAGAATAATGATCTACATGTTTTTTTCTACTGGTAACACTGTAGCATTATTAACGTTATCTACTGATGAAATTAACTTTCATAAAATAGACTTTTAAAGTTTAGAGGACAGAAAGTATTTAAAGATAAATATCATCCAGCATGAAAAACAGAATCAGTATTCTGCTTTCACAAAAGTGAGAAAACCAAGAAGATTTCATTCTGAATATACAGAACTGCTGGAGACAACCATATACTTATGGTACATGTGCAAATACCAAAAATGAGTAAGTATGAATTATTACACAGCCAAATCAGTTGTCAGGCTTCAAAGAATCATAGCCTTCTTTCAAGAGGTCCCGCCATGTTTTAAGGAAACGTGCATTTTCTGTACATTTGAAGGCAAGCTCTTCCACTTGAGCGGATACTGCAGATGTGGCTTCAAGAAGTTTGGTTAATGAAAATGCTGCCTAAAATTTTAAAAAAAGATAGAGAGAGAGAAAGTCAAATAATATGTTCATCTTTCAGATTTTCATCTCATTTTATAGTCTAAAAATAGCTTAAAACCCTGACTCCCATGCCCAACTTATTTTCCATAAATGTAAAAAAATCTTCAAACTCAACACTAGCTTCTTCAGGGAACCTAAGAAATTCCTTAAAGTAAGCTTTGAAGAAATATGTGTGCTGGAGAGATACCCATTATGCACCAGACCTAACAAGTCAGTACTTTTTTCTTTTTTTTTTTCTTAATTGAAAATATACCAGGGGAACCTGGCTGGGTCAATCATAGAAAGCAAGTGACTTTTGATCTCAGAGTTGTTGAGTTCAAGCCCCACGCTGGGTGTAGAAATTGCTTTAAAAAAAAAAAATTAAATCTTTAAAAGAAAAAAAAAGGAAGAAAATTCACTAGACTCATTTAGCTCAAAAAGAGGACTTGGAGCCCTTGACACTAAGTACCAGAAGCATCTGAGGGACTTACTTCTTGACAAACAGCTCACTGATATTTAGGTAACAAGGGCATCGTCCCGCTAATTTTACTTGTGAACACTATTTAGACCATGAAAATGTACAGACCAAAGAACAGATACTCTAAACGGCCAAATAACATCAACAAAATCAAAACAAACCAAAGCAGCATACAAAAAATATCCATCTCTTCGTGGAATTCACTTCTTATTCAAATGATTTCTTCACCTAGAATATAAAATTACACTCTTCCTAGATAACCTATCAGCAGTCCACTCAACATATTCTCTTGATACCAGTCTCCTTCAGCAAATACTGAAGCTGTACCAGCACTTTAGACATCTTAAAAAAAAAAAAAAATGCTTATTAAGCAACGAGAGATAATCGAGGTCATTCCGCAGTTTCCAATCTGCACAGGAGGAGGGTCTATTCCACAAAGTTCTCCCAGGAGTATTACATCCTACATACCTCATTCACTCGACTCAGCCAAGAGTCCTTATTTACTGAAACTTCGCTGGGGGTGGGTGTATGTGTGTCAGTGGAATTCGAGACTCAACAGAAACCACAGTGTGCCCTCTAGCAATCACAGGGAGGTCTCGGACCTGGCCGTTGAGGAAACCAATCTAGACTACAGGCGCGGTTAAGTAACCCCTCCAAACTGGGTCCAGCGCAAGGCAAGCCTGAGACACGCAATAATAGCATTGCCAGCTGGCCTTGGCAGGTGGCCAACTAGAGCAGCGGGATCTTAAGACCCAAGGAAAGAAATCACAGCCTGATCCTAAGCACCAGCAGACGAGGAGGAGGAATAGAGGGCAGACATCGCCAGCACACGTCCGCGCAGCAGAGCTCTGTGGTTTCAGGTTACGGAGGATGATTGAAACCAGAGGCGAGACGAAAAGAAAACAGCGAGGGGTGGGGAAGGTGGGGAAGGGGGGGGGAATCCTCGGGGATGGTGGACACGGGGCCTCGGGTCTCCGGTTTACTTAACCCACCCCCCAGCCCACCGCCTTGGGGGCAGAAGGGCGAGATGCGGATTCCTGGTCCTTCCCTCCCTTGCACAGCAACGGTCTCCCAACGAGGGCCGAGTGGGGCCGCGGCCCCGGGACCTGTCGAGCGACACTCACGTCTCCAATCTGTAGCTCCACTTCCTCCAGAGGGTCCACCGTTCGGCCGCTGCTCCTGCTCGGAACTGGCCAGCCCAAACTCACTGGAACGCCGGGGGAAGACGCTGACGAGGCGTCTGAAGACGAGGGAGAGGAGGGGGGCGGCGGGGGCGGCGAAGAAATCCGCAGCTCCTCAGGGTCTGCCATTGAGCAGGGCTGGGGCGGCAAAATCGGACCTTAGCAGCCGAACCAACACCAACTGTCTTTCAAACTGCTCGCGCCCAACACCCAGAAGCCCCGCCCCCCCTCCTGAAGTCCCGCCCGGTCTCCTTGCGGGTCTTTGCCCAAGTCCGCGAATACTAGGTCGTGTTTTCGGGACAGCCAATCACCTTGGGCGGTACATCGCTCCGGCGCAAATCTCCGGTCCGGCTCAGAAGGCGCTTGAATAGAGGACTACAACTCCCAGAATGCTGTATGCGTCGCTACACCGCCCACTACTTTTGATGCGCACGCGTGTACCACAGGATCTGTGGGTTTCTCTCACCTGCTCTCCCGCGTCCTCACCACGCCTTGGTGAGACGCAAACGGAGAACCAATCCTCAGCCTGAAGCCGGGATCGTGCTGAGACTTGGAGTCCCTTTCCGTTTCCTTTTTCGGTACGTGACCCGGATGTCTCTGCCGGCCGTAGCGTCTTGTGCGGCGCCGGCGCAGAGCAAGAAAGAGGCGGGAACACCGCGAAGCCTAAGCATTGGGCAGAACTGAGAGGCAAACTTCAGCGGAGGTGTTTGTCATTCTCGGCAGGTGATGGCGCCCCCCGCGGTCTAGAGGTTCAGCACCCGCGGTGAACTACTGACAGCCCTTGCGTTGTCTCCCACCGACAGTCCTGGGACCAGAGAATATGTTGGTGCGGCTAGCCAAGCCGTCGTGCCCGGGTGAGAGGGAACTCCGGTCGGGGATAATTAGAGGAAGGTCGAGGAGTTAGGGCAAAACGGACAGGGCTACAGCTGTGGGGGGCTCTAGACACCTACCTCTCTTCACCTGCTCTCCTGGAGTCCTCAGGTTAAACTCGGGCCAAGGTCACGCCGTCCATACCTGGCAGTGGACCCTAGATTCCTCCCCATAGAGCTGTCCCAATTGGAAGAACTGACAACTAGGCTAAAGGTCACGGGCGGAGGAAACTTACCAACACGGCCCTCCCCTGGACTCCCGAACTGAACCTTCCAGATCTGGTCCTAATTCTTATCCCAAAGCTTAGGTGTTTTCTTTTGCATTGTTGGAAATGGATAAAATAATATTTGCACAGTTTTTCTTCTTGGTCGTGTCCTGACTTTAGTCTTTGCAGCCATCCATCCCAGTCCATTAAGAATTTGAAGTCTGATCTGTCACATCATGATTAACATCCATATGCGTGGCCCAAGTCACCAGTTTATATCTGGAGCCAGGAGTTTTTCTACATTGTCTAAAATTAACTTTAGAGGCTTATCATGTTGTGGGTGCTCCTAGAACCATCACAATGACTTGTGAAAATACCTCATTACCTTTTCTTCCTCTTAAGTAAAAATAATGCAGTTGGGTGGTCTTTGTTTAGCTTTACTTTTTAAAAAGGGTTTAAACATTCAAAAAGATTCACTACAGGATCTTGCATTTTGTCACATTTGGTTTAGTTTTTTGGTTTAGTTTCTTTAATTTTTGGTTACAGAATAAACAAGTATCCATATTGCAACTTCAAGGATGTTCTTATTATGTACATTTCATGCACATAGAAATTGTCAGATTTGGCCACCATATGTTAAATTTGAATTTTATTTAAAGTTCCTGATACTTGGGCATGTATTACTACACCTAATGTGTAGATACACTTTATGTTTTGTGAAATATCAAAGTAGTAAGATGGTATCTGCCCTACTGCCTAATTTAGCTGAAATCATTCTTGGGCCAAGCGTTAATTACATTCCACCAAAATTAGCATTTCCATTTTCTTTTTTTTTTCTTTTTTTAGAAGATTTTTTTTAAGGTTTTTTATTTATTTGCCAGAGATAGAGAGTACAAGTAGGCAGAGCAGCAGGCAGAGGGAGAGAGAGAAGCAGGCTTTCCGCTGAGCAGGGAGCCCAATGTGGGGCTGGATCCCAGAATCCCGGGATCATGACCTGAGCCGAAGGCAGCCACCCAACCACCTGAGCCACCCAGGCACCCCAGCATTTCCATTTTCCATGGATACTTAAATCGTTGTCATTTTCATAGCTCAGTGTTAACACTACTGGCAACAAGGAGATGGACACAAATGTGTTGGCAGTGTGACTTTGATATGGTGATCTTATGAGTTCAATGGACTTTTTGACCTTACTTCTCTACCAGAATTCAGCCAACATGCCTAATTGTTCAAATATCTAAAGTGGAATGTCAGATTTGTTTTCAGAAAGGGAGTAAAGGTTGTGACTTTTTTTTTTTTTAAGATTTTATTTATTTATTTATTTATTTGACATACAGAGATCACAAGTAAGCAGAGAGGCAGGCAGAGAAAGAGGAGGAAGCAGGCTCCCTGCTGAACTGAGAGCCGGATGCAGGACTCAATCCCAGGACCCTGGGATCATGACCTGAGCAGAAGGCAGAGGCTTTAACCCACTGAGCCACCCAGGTGCCCCAGGTTGTGACTTTTTATCCCGTGGTGGAAATCGAACTACCCAGTTCCAGATATTCTCAAGAAAATAACTAGCTGTATAAGCAGTAGAATTACTTTTATCTGATATCGAATCATCAGTTTTCAGCAGCAAATGATAACTTCTACACACTAAACTACAATTCATCATAAGACAAAGATTTTAATATCTCTTAATAATAAAAATACAAATGATTAATTATTTAATATTCTCTTGAATGATGGTAATGCTATATTTGAACTCTAGAACTAAATTCTCCTATAATACCTTTATGTGTCTTAATGTACATTTTTTCAAGACTTAGGATATATGAAATAATAATTTAAAAATTATTCCCAATACTATAATTTTTAGTGTGCCTTTGCAAGTAGAGAAAATTAATTTCCTTGCCACTGTAAGATTATCAAAAGTAGATGATTTTTTTTAGTGTTTAAAAGCCTTTAGAGTTCAGCCACTCTAAATCTCTTCCCTTCCTGTATTCATCACAATCTTTAATTACTGATGTCTGATGCCAGATTTTTGCTTTAAAAAAATTATTTTATTGGAAAGAGTAAAATATAAAAATATGTTCATTCTGCAGTTGAGTGCTAAAGAATAGCCCATGCAAGGCTGTATGTTCCCATTTAATCAGAAAAAAGAAAGAAAGAAAATTCTTTTTTCATCACAGCTCGGTTTCCATTACTTCACAAATCATTTCATATCCAGTTGTAGTCTCAGAGCTTGACTGATGTTGGAAGGATTGAGAGCTTGGGTGGTGGGATCGTCTGAATTCCTATGTATTCACTGTAAATGGGGATTGTAGCTGCCCCTCAATTTCCATAAAGTCATGAAAGGTAAGGCATGCTATCATAATTAAAAATCTTAACTCTTCATTATGTCCATTAAAATGTAAATTTTATTACATTTTACATTTCAAATCCATGCAAAAGTCTTTGTTGATCTTTATTATTTGTTACAGTCCATGTTTAGAAACTTATTCATTTGCAGATATAATGCTTATATTTATATATAATATTCATATTCAAATTCACATATTCATCCCTTCTTCCCTCTTCCTAAACCCATAGCAACCACTGATGTTTTTAATGTCTCTATAGTTTTACCTTTTCCCGAATCTCATGTAGTTGAAATCATGCAGTATGTAGATTGGCATTTTCAGATTGGCTTCTTTCAATATGCATTTAAGTTCCCTCCATGTTTTTTCATGTCTAATAGTTAATTTCTTTTTAGCGCTAAATAGTATTCCATTGTATGTATGCACCTCATTGTATCTGTTTATCTAGTCACGTATTAAAGAACATCTAAGTTTTGACAATTATGAATAAAGCTGCTATACACATTCATGTGAAGGGCTTTTTTTTTTTTTTTTTTAACCTGGACATTTTCTTTCTTTTGTTTTACTGTGATAAGAACTCTTAACATGAGATAGACCCTCTTGGCAAATTTTTAAATGTACATTATTATTGACTATAGGTACGGTGTTCAACATCAGATCTCTAGAGCTTATTCATCTTGCTTGACTGAAGGTTTTGGTCTGAGCATTAATTTTCAACTCATTTGGGTAAATGCCAAGGGGTACAACTGCTGGATCATCTGTTAAGATATGGTTAGCTTTGTAAGAAATGCCAAACTGTCTTACAAAGTGCCTGTACCATTTTGCATTCCCACTAGTAATGAATGAGAGAGCCAGTTGCTCCACATTCTTGTTTTCTCATAATCTTTTTTGTGTGTGATTGTAAATCTTCTATTTTTAATAATAGTTTTACTGAGATATGTCATATACTCTACAATCATACCCTTTAAGATATAAAATCAGTGGTTTTTACTATAAACACACAGTTGTGCAACCATCACAACAATCTATTTCAGAACATTTTCATCACCCTCAAAAGAAACCTCACACCCATTAGCAATCACTCTTCAACCTCTCTAGCCCTAGGGCAACAACTAATCTATTGTCTCTATAGTCAATTCTGGATATTTCATACCCATGGAATCATAATATGTGGTCTTTCATGGCTGGCTTCTTTCATTTAGCATAGTGTTTTCAAAGTTCATCCATAATATAGCATTTATTACTACTGAATTTTGTTGCTGAATAATATTCCATTGTATGAATATATCACTTTTTATCCATTCACAAACAGATATTTGGGCTTTTTCTATATTTTGGCTGTTATGAATAATATATCTATGAAGATACATATATAAGCTTTTGTGTGTTTTCATTTATCTTAGGTATATACCTGGGAGAGAGTTCTGTGGAAACTATGTTTAAGGTTTTGCGGAACTGGCTGTACCGTTTTTCCAAAGGGCTGTACCATTTTACATTTCTACCAGCTGTGTATGAGGGTTCCTCTGTCTTTTCTTGTCTCTACGACTTTGCTACTTTCAATATATACTAGCCAGGCATTTTGTAGAATGTCCCTTATCTGAATTTGTCTGATGATTTCTCATGTTTAGACCAAGGTTACAGCTTTTGGAGAAGTATGCCAAAGAGGTAAAGAGCCCTTCTTATCACATCAGGGAGTGTGTGATACCAAAATGTCTTGTTGCCAATAATGTTAAACTTAATCATTTGGTTAAAGGGTCTCTGTATTTCTCCACTGTAAAATTAATATTTTTCCCTTTTGTACTCATTGGAAGCTAGTCACTAATTGCAGTCCACACTCAAAAGTGGAGAAACGAATAATCTGTGGATGTATCAACATAATCTTTTATACTTTGACTTTTTCTATTAAAATCATAGGCCATATGGACGGGGCACCTGGGTGGCTCAGTGGGTTAAAGCCTCTGCCTTCGGCTTGGGTCATGATCTCAGGGTCCTGGGATCGAGCCCCGCATCGGGCTCTCTGCTCAGCAGGGAGCCTGCTTCCTCCTCTCTCTCTGCCTGCCTCTCTGCCTACTTGTGATCTGTCTGTCAAATAAATAAATAAAATCTTTAAAAAAAATCATAAGCCATATGGAATTCATTTTGATAGGAAGAGAAAGGTATGATTTTTTCCAAATGAATTTCTCCCTATCTTTGACCATTTAATAAGTAGCCGTTTCTTTTCTCTGATTAGAAATGGCATCTTTAGCATATGGAAAATCCTTATGTATATTCTGTTTCTGAAATCTTTATTTCTTTCGTTTCCTTTGATTATTCCTTCTCCTAAAACAGACTCATAATTACTATAACTCCAATACAAGTTTTTGTATCTGGGCTATTCCCAAGGGAGTATTCTCTGTCATTATGTGTGTGTGTGTGTGTGTGTGTGTGTGTGTGTGTGTGTGTGTGTAATGGGAAAAAGTATCAAGGAGAAGAGTACCAGAGAAGGGAGACAGAAACTGAAGATGCAGGTGAAAGGGAAGGCTTCAGATGGATTGATGTCCCTCCGAAATTGGGAGGGCTAAGCCTTATCATCATCATTCTAAGTGAAAAGATATCTGTTGTAACCTAGAAAATGAATGAAGAGTGGACACAAATACAGATTACATTAGAGGTTGTTGCCAAGGAAATAGGAAAGTTCCCATTTAATTACTTCTTTCTATGACATTTGGTGTGTTATGGTCTCTACTTCAGATAGGGGAAGGAAGAGGTAGAATTGAAGGTTCAAGGACAAGAGCTTTAATGAACATTATTGTAGATAAAGCCTTCCACACTTCTGTTTATTTCTATTTGCTTACTTAATGAATATGTACATTTTTAAGGCTCTCAGAAGATATTGCCATATCGGAGAGTCAGTTTTTTAAAAAGCTGACCATAAAACCTAGTTTGCCCATGTTGTCCCAGCATAATCATTAATACTGTCCCTTATTACTCTCGAAAGTATCTAGTTTAGGGACGCCTGGGTGCCTCAGGTGTCTGCCCTTGACTCAGGTCATGACCAGGGTTTGAGTCCCAAGTCATGACCTGGGATTGAGTCCCCCATCAGGCTCCTTACTCAGCAGGGAGCCTGCTTCTCCCTCTGCCTGCTCTTCCCCCCCGTTTGTGCACACATGCATGCGCTCTCCCTCTGGCAAATAAATTTTTTTTAAAAAACGTATAATTTGGTTGATAAATTTTAGGGTTTTCCTGTTCATAGGTTAAGCTTGATATGAGCTAAATTGAATAAATTAATTTATTAGATACTTTTTAAATATAGTTTGAAAACATTGGTTTATGAGAAGAAGCTAAGTTGTTCATCTAGGAAATAGTACAGTCTGTTTCAGGTCATATCACAAATAATGGCTCAACAGCCTAGATCTAACCATTCACTGTCTGCAGTGTTGATACGGTGAGAATATAAAAAATTTTCAACTATAAGATATCATGTGGGTCATACAATTTTAAATCAGTTAGGTACCTTAGAGATCATCTAGTGACCCTTTCCTTTTTTCGGATAAGGAAACTGAAATCTAAAGAGGTTAATGAAGGTCTTAGGGCTAATTAATAGAAAATTAAAGAGAAACCAGATCTGATTCCTAATCCTAGAATTTTTTCCTTTAAAAAAAATGGTTTTTTAGTCTACTCCGAGAAAAGCTAATTGAAAAAATACCAATTTTTGTGCAGCATATCAGTGCTTTCATGCCTTAAAAATTAAGAAAAATCATCTACCTGTGGGTCATACAAGATGGTCTTCAACTTCTGTTGTACCTCGAATTACTACCCACTATACTATTTATCCCCGGGATAAGGACAAACGATGGGAAGGTAAGTAATAATTTCTGTAGAAGTGTTGAAGCTTTTTTAGATACTTTATATCATTTTGTGGAAATATTTTTCATGATAGTATAAGATCATCTAATAATATTTCATAGCTTTACCAAATCTATTACATATTGATATTGAGATAAGAAAATATCTGCAAAGTTTTTAGTAGTAAATCTCAAAGTCAAAAGTGGTTTATGGAAGCAAAAATAAGATAGACACTGGAATGGAACCTAAGAGAACATCCAATTAATACAGTAATATATTTAGTATAATTCTCATGCAAAGCAGAGGGGCAATTTCTGTAAATGCTCTAAAGCATAGTGAGTGTTTGTGACCTAGTTTGTGATTTTTATCAGATCATATTCATCCCAGAATTTTCATGTATTTTTTAAATCATTTTTTCCTCCCAGGAGTGAACATGGAGAGGTTTGCAGAAGAAGCAGATGTAGTTATAGTTGGTGCAGGCCCTGCAGGACTCTCTGCAGCTGTTCGTCTAAAGCAGTTGGCTACTAAACATGAAAAGGACATCCGTGTGTGTCTAGTAGAGAAAGCTGCTCAAATAGGAGCGCATACTCTCTCAGGGGCTTGCCTTGATCCACGTGCTTTTGAAGAATTATTCCCAGACTGGAAGGAGAAGGGAGTATGAAAAATTGGTTTTTATACAAAATGTAATCTTTATCGTATCTATTTCCAAACTACTAGAATATAGAAAACCCTTTTTATGTAATTCTGTCTCTTAGAGGATTTTTATAGATAAGTATTTTTTAACTTAAAAAGGGCCAAAAATTGGGGGCGCCTGGGTGGCTCAGTGGGTTAAGCCGCTGCCTTCGGCTCAGGTCATGATCCCAGGTCCTGGGTTCGAGCCCCACATCGGGCTCTCTGCTCAGCAGGGAGCCTGCT